AAGCTAAAGACGCTTTCGGGGAAATGGATGTTTTCTTCAATTTGCAGAAATTTAGGCTGCCACACCGCGTCAACGTTGCATTTAACAACATACAATGAGATCGTTACTAGAACTCTCGTTCTCGAAAAAGCCTCTACGAAAACCGGGAAACTCCTTCCCTGTAGTTTTCGAGCGCCCCTGGTATACAATTTTGATATTTTTTTTCAATTAACCATTTCGTTTCTCTTTCTCAGTGTCTGAAGATCGATGACACTGGCGCCTTTTTTCCGAGGCTTTCTACAGCAGAATGCTTCTATAAATGCCTGCCTAAACCGCTCGCCTCCGACATTGAGTATAATTGGATTGATCGAAGAATTCAGTACAAAAAGAATGGCCATAATGCAGTTCCAGGTCACCACAAACCTGGGCCGATGACCTACCAGAGTTGAGTTTGTGTTCATGATAATCGTAGCAACCCCAGGAAGATAACAAACAAAAAATACAGCGCAATGAACAAAGAGAATTAGCGTGACACGATTGCGTCTTCGGATTGCACTCTTCGTTTGCTCTGAAGCATTTGGTGGCGATTTCCGAACTTCCTTGATGATAAGTACGTACGCGACAGTATTTACCAGAAATACTGCAAGATATAAACAAACCATAAATATGGAAACTGCTGATATGAACTCGTTTTCACCTGTCACACCTTCTGTCAGGCCATCGAGTGAGTGATATTTCTCATCATCGGGCCAAGCAATGCATACTTTAAAGATTGAAAACTTATGTAAAATCACCTGCCCAACACCTATTGTTCCCGTTATTATCCACGTAACAACTACCAGTGTAACGGCCCTTTTCTTGCACTGAATGCGCTTGTATCTATGTGGATGGCAAATGGATATGTATCGCTCTACTGATATCAGCGTGCAAAACCCAAAATCCGTCAACGCGCTTGCAATTTGTATGCAGCGCGTTACGAGATGGATCAATATGAAGGCATGACCAAGATTTTTGAAGCCAAATGGGTGGAATGTACGCAAAACCTGATATTGCCGCGTAGTGAATGCAGTAAATAAACTAATCAAGTCGGCCACTGCTATATTGGCTAGATACAAGTTAGTGAAGTTGTGCAAATCTCGGACCCGACACAGTGTAAACAAGTAGGCAAAGTTGGCCAAAATACCGAACGTTTTCAAAGTAGGCACAACATATCCAAAAACGCTTACCTCAAGAGTGCCATATTCAGAGGCCTCGGCAACCTCTTTTGTCATCTTGCCGGCGAATATACTGTGATTAAACAACTTCTTTGGGGAATGGCGCGTGCTACTCTCTCTAGAAAGTGAGTTACACGTGGCGTTGGACAAATCCTCGTAACTTAAGGTAAGCGGGTGACAAAGGTTATCATAGGCTGATATCCCACAACTGGTACCATTGTGAGCAACACACACCAAAAATGTACACACTAATAAATCAAGCTGACCATGAGTCATTGAGGCGTTCCCATAAACCGCTACTTCAACTAAAGGCAGAGAACTGTATGATGACATGATGTCTACCTTTAGGTTTGTGATTTATCGCCTAGTGTTTCCCCTCTCGTTCACATTCAATTTATCAATTTTCACACAAGAAATATGATATTGACCTCTGCCATGAATTTCGAAAATGACATTTGTTATAAGTCATAAACAGTTAACGAGGATTTTCTGTGGACATAGCTTGGAGCATATTTGTTGATGGAGCTCAGACGTTAGAAGGTATTGGCTGTTCCGCCGGTTTCAGCATAGTGTTTAACTGAAGGGCAATGACTGTGCCACAGTGGTGCTGCAAAATTTGACTTGGTTCCTTGAACTCCAGATGAATGGTTACAGATAGCAGTTGAAACAACACACAACGAACGTTGAACGCACACAACGAACTTGTAATTAAAGTGTGTGTTCTGTGAAGAACATTTCGTGCACTATAACGTTCTGCCACGAGAATCAGTCAACTTGGGAACTTCATTCCGATGGTCCGCCAGCCTGGATAACTCTTCCCTATAACTTCGCGTCACTGACTGCGAAGAAGGGTGGTGAGGTTTATGTCATCCAGAGGCTATGCCAAGAAACATTGCCTATCCAATTCCCTGATGGGTGGTGTTCGGAGGCTAAGTTGAAAGGGTTATGCCTCGGCCCTTACCAGTACCGTTCGGAGGGTCTAGGATTGGAAGCCACGTAGTAGATATACTCCGCCGTGTCAAAATGACACTGGACTCTCCGGTCGAGGTGGATAGCAGCTGTAGCTGGAGGAGAGAATATATGCCGCTTTAAATGTTGCCTTCAGCAGGTCGATGAGCACCAGTCGGTCATTTGACACTCTTTAGCGAGGTTATAGCCAAAAGGTCTCGGCACTGATGCGTTCAGAATTTCTGTACGTTGACTTATTTGCTTCAGTTTGTGTAAAAGGAAACTGTCAACATCAGAGATGTACCAGATCTGAAGGAAGCGGCTCTTGTTGAGACGTCGACAGACTGTCGGCTTCAGTTCTAAGACACAGTGGTCTGACTTGTATACCATCGCATTTTAAGCATCATTTCACTCTTTCTGATACTACGGACAGCATGCAGGTCGAGGTCTATTTTCGAGGAAAATGTGTATCACCCGACAAAACAAAGTCATTGCAGTAAAAATGAAACAAACATCTCATTGGATAGCATTTCATTTTATGATCGATCGCGAGAGTAAATAGCTAGTGGACCAATTTCCTATAAAACCAAAACTTCCCGACTTGTGAAAGTGGTAACTGATATGGGGAAATTCCAAGGCTACGCACACCGTTGATTATACGATAATTTGGTAACGTCCCTGGTGTCGTAAGATGTCCAGCCTCCCCATCCCGGGTTTTGAATTTTTCCCGCCGGCAGGAGAATTTCAAGCAAGTTTTCGCAACATATCCTGCCCCTACGACCTACAGACACGACATCATAATGATGCACGTAAATCTGTTTTGTGTACTTGTAAGATGTCAGGGGCAGATCCAGGGGATCAACCAAAAAAATACACGAATAAATAAAAAAGAAGTAAAAGAGGGAGGGAAAAGAAAAGAGAGGGGTTATACTGCCTGAAATAGCACCACAGAGTGCCTAAATTACGAAATGGCTCCGGACCCGACGCTGTATGGGCATTTTACCATTACTTCTTTACTTCACGCCCCCCCCTTGGAAAATCCTGGATCTGACCGTGGATGTTGTGTTCAGGTCTTCAAACTCATCAACATCATCACTACAAAAATTTTTTTTTAAAATAAATAACAAACAAACAAACAAAAGTACAGCACGACCAAGCAAACGACGCTAGTACATCTATACGCCACGCCTGATCCTGTTTCAATGCAAATACACTTGAAGCGCTAGCGGCCAAATAAGAAGACGTCCAGCGTGGCAATTTATAGCGGTACCGGGTATGCATTGCGTTTCTTACAGTATTTTGAAAACTTTAGATTTAAAGATTCGCGTGTGTATCGCATTGACTTTGTACACTTTTTGTTTTACTACACATGATTTGTAGGCATGCACGAATGACAACTTCATTTTCATCATTTTAGGAATGCGGCAAAACCCTATGATCTGTGGCAAACAGACATAGTAGCTCTAGTTTATTGCGCTTATGTGCAGCCTAACCATACATGTATGAACATTGAGTATCGTAATATAGGCCGTTGCTCTGGGTTATGCTGCTCCCGCTGTGTCTGTGATGTAAAGGTAACAAGAATACTAAATAATTTAATCTTGCTGCCAGTGAATTTCACATCACGCATCGCGTGTGCGAAACAAAACTGATAGAGTTTCATTGTTGCAACCTGGAACTTGCTTTCTTTTTTACAGACGTCTGGATGGTTTCATGTCGGCGGCAATATAGCCTCCCCCCGGCGGTGGAGCACTCTCGTGGTGTGCTACCTTATGATAAAGGAACTGACATTGTTTTTGTAAGAATCTGCGGTTATAGAATCCAATTGCTGGGAGGGATAGTTTCGCAATTAATTCCAGGTAAAAGGTGAATTGAAGGATGACACGAAAGTGTCAGTGCCATTGGCCCAACTAAAATTACATCGAGATGAATGGATGCCTTACTCTACACAGCAGTGTTGTGACGCCCTCTCGTGAACAATAGCAGCTATATGAACGAGTATCAGACCCTAAAATGTTGGTATATAACTTAAAATGTTGGTTATAACTTTGAAGCAGACCGATGCTACTGTTTCGCTGTCTGTCACACCTGGAAGGCCCGAGGCGCGGAGAAGCAGAGGACGCAACAACTTGTTTAGTCAGTTGATCGTCCCGAGCGCCCTGTTGACTCCAGTGCCGGCGGCCACGTCCAACGGCCAGTTCATCAATATTCTACAGCAATCGGCCGGGGCTTCGTTTTGTCCTATTCGGCCCTGAAGCTATCGATATCGGCCAGGCGACAGCTTATGGGTCGGTGAGAACCCTCTGCACCTCCTGGCCTTCGGAGCTTTTCATTATAGGGGATTTTTTTGGAAACTGAGGAGCAATGGCGGCGTTCGTTGAAACGCGCATAGGCATCGGGTTGCAAGAAACACGGGACACGGGTGAGGAGTTGGGCTGGTTATTAAATTTCAAACATCCACAAAAAATGGACGGAAACATACCTCAGGCTCCCATGGGACGATCGCTGAAATTGCGCGTTAACTTCCGGTTCCATGGTCCCATGTAAACAGCGACCAATATGCATGTAACTCTATGTGCACTGCATGTGCAGTGGGGTTTAAACTGAAGTGACGTCACACTTACGAACCGGATACGCTCTTTCTTCGATGTGCGTATATACTGAAGGGCCAGCCGAAGTTGCTTTCAGGGAAATATGCCGTTGTCGTGTTGAGCATGGTTCAACAAGTGTTGTTTTTGTTCCCAGTATTGTATCTTTTATTCTATAAATAGCTGCCCTTTCTCGTACAAAAAATTCACTAAAACGTTTTTTTCTCTTTCTTTCCACTAAACACATATGAAGTTGGTATCATGTCAAAAATCACACTACGGACAAGTCATCAAGGACGCTTTTATTCAAGGCAACAATAACTTCAAACATTTCAAAAAATCGCGATATCAACAATTGTTGTTTTGTTAAAATTTTCTACGATCAATCACAAATACAAAGCCATGTTGAAAGATATATGCGTCATTTAATCATTAACACAACAGTTTCGCCCATGGTGAAACCAAGCTGGCGTTTAACATGTGTGCATGCTTTGAAAGATACGATTTCTATCTTTGAATATATCCACCAATGATAAAATTTGCACAGGAATCCAACATATTGATACGACTGCAGGAAGTATATCGTTCCCACGTACTGTGGAAGCAGGGCGCGGAGTGATGGTCACAGTTTACATTCGCTCCTCCTTTTGAAAAAGGATGAATGTCATTTTTTCCTCCAACATTACTGCCAGACGTTTTGGCAACGTTTGTTATTGTCACACCCTGTTCCGACATGAGAGAAACCCATAGCACGACACCTGCACAATTTATTTGGACTAAACTTCTCCTATTTGGACGCGTTTTCTTTTTCAAAACTGTCTTGGGAATACACTATGTATTTTCCTACGGGAACATGGTTTTATTGCAGTCTTGGGAGGAGACTAGTCGTCCTCGTGGAAGCTTCCTCTGTTGAAATGTCGCACTCTTCTTCCTTTTGAAAAAAACCTTCGGAGATACGAGTATAGCCTTTATTCAAGTCAGATTTTCCTAATGTCTTGTGTAAAATAATCTTCTCCTGGACTAGTAAACTTATACCGTGACGAAAAAAGGAACCATTTTGAACCGTGGTAAAATGTGACCCTATGTGAACCAATCATGAGTGAGACTTTTGATTCACAGTCTAGAGGATGAAACGACAGAATAGGACCGATCTGAAAATCAATGCTACGCGATCACAAACTTCTAGGGTTATGTAGTTTAAAATTGATGAATGGACTTGAAGGGACAATTTTTGAGGCTCAGGACTCTCGTGTTTGGCTGGAACTTCACTTAATAATTGAGGGCGCACTTTTTCCCGAGAGTCGATAAATTGGGTAATAAATATACTTCCTAGAGATAATGCCATTACAATACAAAACTTCTTTCTAATTAAGATGGCCCACAGATATACTTATCACCTATGAGGTTTACATTGTGTAAACACATTACACTTAAATGTCGCATTCTGCTGCGGTACGCCAAAAGCCCTATGAAACATCTTACAAAGCGATTGAAACCTGTCAATGTATGCCACAATCATTACAATATAGTTCCGTTCTACAAAAAAGCTGTTGACCTCCCTTCCCTGTCTTGAAAGTATAACATGGATTTTTAATGTGTTGGTTTAAAAATGTTTTAAAAACATGCATTCTAAATACAATGGAGCAATAAAAGAGTAATAAAGGTAACAAATAAAAGGTAACATCACTACGAATAGCGGCACTGTGGCAGAAACTGTTGCTTGACATGATAATGTAGTCCTCTTGTCTATTGTCACAGCAAAGCCACTTAAGCACAAGCACGTTTAGGGAATACAGGTGCCAAAGCATGCGCTCATACATAAGGTCTGTGACAACTTGGACGACACAAAAATTCCACTTTTATTAGTGAATGACTTCTGACGACACAATTCTATTTGCCGTCCCCCATCATGCAAGCACTGCTGTTGAATGTTGCTTTGTTGGTGCTAGAATACTGAGCTACAGTTAACATTTAGCAACTCTTGTTCCTGCAGCAATTTACATTTTGCAACAAACCTACAATTGTTTAATATCACTGCTCGTTTTGCCCAATTTAAAGGAACGAACTGTATTAATTAAACAATATCTATCTAATCACTGCTGGGGCCTTTATGCTCGGGATTCTTCAGTTGTCAGTCGATCGATGCTCTTCATGGCGCTTCGCAGTGACCCATTTGTGGTCTTCATGGAGCTACAGGTAGCGAAGATGGCTCGGCGGTCCTTCTTCCCTGTCTCACCCTGGGCTGATGGATCATCGCGGCATGTGGACCTACAGGTCAGGTTGAAGGCCTCGTAAAAGGCCCTCCGGTAGCGGGAGTTGGTCACGTTATAGATGATGGGGTTGATGGCCGAGTTGCAATACGTCAGCAGGTGACTGAACAGAAGGCCAGCTTCGAACGACTTGTTGGATTGGTATCGTGTGTACCCTGTCAGTCGCCGAATGAACCAGTAGAGGGACAGGGTCTGGAATGGTGCCATCAGTATGAAGAACATGACCCCGTTAATGACGAGCATACGTGCAATTTGGTTGCGGACTTCTAAGTTCTTGCGAACGCCAGCAGCTTGGCGGCCGATCACGCCTAGCCGGTCGTTCATGGCCCGCATGACGCGCACGAAGAGCACGCTGTTCACAGCCATGGCCACAAAGAAAGGGCACGTCTGCATGAAGCTGGCGTAGCGGAAGGCCGCTTCGGAGGTGGACACGTAAGCGGTCAGGGTGGCCGGCAAGGTGGCCTCCAGTTCTCTGGTCGGCCATAACATGCAATATACGACGGTCCGGCACTGCGACGGCACCGTGGTCGCAGCAAGCACGGCCGCCACTGCCCAAGACAGCACCACTAACTTGGACGCATTCCACGGGTCAGCGTTGCCCACAAACACCTTCATGGGGCGGCACACGGCGTAGAATCTCTCGAACGCCACTGCCGTCACCAGAAATTCACTGGTGAAGAAGGCAACGTACGTGAAGACGTACATGACGATAAACAGGCCGAAGTTGACATTGCCCTGGTCCTTAGCGACAGGTGAGCTGGCAAAGTGGGCAATGTCCTGACCCATGGCGGCACCCAGAAAGAGGATATCAGCAAAGGCCAGGCTGACCAAATACACGTTGACCACCGTCCTCATCCGGTGGACGCGAGCCACCACGAAGAGGAAAGCGATATTAGACAGAAGACCAATGGCCATAATGACCGGCAGGATGTAAGTGTTGACAATCTTCTCCATAGAGCTGTACAAATACCGCTCTACCTCGTCCTCTGTCTCGATAAACGCAACAGTATCACATGACAAGTTGAATGTCCCGTTTAATCGTCCATGCTGGATGAAATGTCCGCTGCCGTTAACTACCGTCCAGTTCAGAAACCAGAAATCCATTTTAATCTTTGTATAGAAGATGAAAAGACTCCAATTAAATTCTGCCTACCTGGAGCAGTTCAACAGAGACAGATTCCTCTGTTACTTTCCCCGCCTACTTGGAATGTCGACCGAGGCCTAATAACGCATCGAGCCCAGTCACTGTATGTAGCGTTCAGGATAGCTCGCGAGCTCACCATTCCATACCAAATCACTGCTCTCTGCCTCTCCGCTGTCGGAATGAGCAGCAGTCTTCGCTGGAAAAATCGATTAGGAACCATAGAAAACGGCACATCAGCAGCAACGCAATGTAGGTAACGACTGTATCGTGTTCGCCCTTCATGGTGCAGGTTTTGGACGGGTTTATGGGTAGCCGTTTGGTTTGTTCAAACACGAATGAAACCATTCGCCCGCCGTCGAGCCATCTTCGAAAGTTATTATCGATTATCTGGTGCTGCCAAGCTGATGTATTTATCTCCCCTCAGTTTCACTGTAAAACAAGACTATTGCCGGAAATTATGCGGATGTGCGAGGACTGCTGTTTTGAACTGGCAAATTGAGGCGCCGACTTCTAGGGGAAGATCACCCTAGCTGAAATAAACGTGGTGCAAGAATATCTGCTAGAGTCCTGCCAAATCAGAAATTGTTGTCGGTATCTCTGCTAAGTGTAAGATGACAAAAAAAGGTGAATAAAGGTAAGCGGACGGCCACAATGGCAAATTTACGAGCCGATAGAGCGACATGCGATTCAAAGACGATCGAGAATCTGCGCTTTAATCTTTTATAGGCTTTCATTTGCGCACGCACCCAAACAACCTTGAAGTCAGGGCATCATCCTGATTGGTCGGTGCGCCACCGGCTAACTGAAATCATGCACCTGATTGGCCAAGTGTCAACCGCCCTCTCCAAAGTCACCGAAGTTGTTGAAACAGTCTAATTTCTAATTGTTTAGCGCGCCAGCCGTCGACGTGTCACGATTATGGGGTATCGAGTAGGTAATCGAATCTGCGGAGCTAGTGGGCCGGCCGGACGGTAATACCCTCTTGAAGTGACTTCGATGGTTCGTTCTCAGTAAACAAATCTGGGAATTGCTGGGAATTGGAGTTTTGTTTGGCAAAGTAAGGCGGCAGTAAACTTCACGATCGAAAGCAGCTTCGCTGCACGAAAAACCACTTAAACTGTCGCATAGAGGACGGGCATCATAAAGCACACGAAAATACTGCACAACTGCGACTTATATTTGCTCAAGCGACATTTTGTAATTTAAAAATGGATCAAGTAAAAAGGTGTCTACCTTTTCTAACTTTTAGCTCTCAAGAAATCCGTGATTTATCAAGGCATTGTCGAGTCTAAATTTACCTGGTACCTCGGTAGTGGGAGAAAATACACCACTTAGACAAAAATTTGAATACACGTTTTTGTTCTTTCCAGCTTCAGTATGGAGCATTCTGTATATAGCCTTTGAAGGATGTGTTATTATACGTAGACCTAGGCATAATATACCGCCTTCTTTTGGCTGTCACTGAAGAAGTCACCGTATTTGTTTTTCACCTTAATATCTATCACCATCATTTTTGCCACTTCCAGTGGCTGTATTTTTTAACAAAGATACATTAGCGTAGATGACACTGTGTGAGTGGCAAAGTTCCCTGCAGTGAAGCATAGAGTTCATGGACGGTGCGTCACTTCCTGGTGCACCAAAACTATCCCAGTTACGTCACTTCGTGGTGAAACCAACGAAATGGTCCGTAACACATTGATTTTGAATGCCAAAACCTGCAGAGGTCGCTGTTGTGCTGTGAGCCTCGGCTCTGTTGATGGATTGGTTTTCACTGACCACTTCGCTAATATTCCCTTTAATTAAATGACCACTGTCTGATTAGAAGACGGTGCCAGACGAAAGCCTGTGTGAAAGTTCTACTCCTTGATATAATTTGATTTGAGAAATTGATGTTCGGGCTCGAAGTCCCCACATCTTTGTACAGGGCTCGAGCGATAATGCTGCGCCGTCGGAGTGCCCTGTCCGCGCTTCGGTGGATGTCCCAAAGCAACCAGATGCTTCTTAAGTACCCGAAGAGGAACCGACACCATTGCAATTAGTTGTAACAGCAGAGTCTCTGGAAATTTCAGCCAGGACATCCGATGATGCGCTTCAGCGTGATTCTCCCGACAACGGCGAGGCAGTGTTGAGCATTTATCGCACCGAAAATACAGCAACAACATTATTTCGGAACTTGCCAAAAGGTCAAAATGATCGAAGAGCAACTCGGATAACCAAACTAGGAGAATACGATTTGTGAATTTTATATTTCCCGTATAGTGATCAGAGATACCTCGACGCACACAAAAGTCGCCAGAGGCAATGAGCGATAATAATGTTGGTTTTATTTTTAGTTCATTGCTCTTCCTTTTCAGTTTAAAGGCAGGAACCACTGATATTCATTTGGAAAGTTAAGTAACAATTCGTAGGCAACCTAAACAGTGTGAGTGTCTGGTCAACTTTTACACTTTTTCGAATTACATCTCAGAGCACTCAAGCAAGACTGTCAAGTTGGTTAACCGTGAATTTTTAAAGATTTCACTTCGTCTTGCTGAAATCAGCACTGGTGCTGACGTATTACTTCAGCTTTCCCTTTAATGTGAGGCATCCTAGCCTCCCGAGGAAAGATGCCCATGCATGATCATCACATGATTCTGAGTACAGAGCACTCGTATTGCTACGTCCCAAGATGTTACTAATAACATGACGTAAACGAGCGCGGTTCCGAGGGTCCTCCTGGTGGACGCCATGAGGCTCGAGACTGACCGCGTGGCGATGGGGGAACGGCTCGCGGAGACAAGAGCTCAGCAACAGTTCCCGTGGGTCTTATCTCCAACGCGGTGTTTCTCGCTCAAGTGCAGACTTAATGTAATTTAAGAGCATGAGAGTCTTTTTCGACAAAAAATCCTTCGTTGTTGTCAGAAGCTAACGCGAGGAAAACATTCGTGTTAGCAATCCCAGCGACTGTTAGAGTAAACAAGGTCAGCGAATCCCCCCCCCTTTTCTTTCCTTTTTATTCGCTGCCCACATTTTCTCTCTTCCACCACGATTGTCACCGAAACTGTTTAACGTGATATTATTTCGATACAACCAATGTTACCACAGTCACCGCGGTATCGCTGATCACATATCATGATGCATGTATGGATAGGTATGCTGCCAGTTATAAACACGCTATTAAAGGTACAAAAAGCTCCTCGAACAAGATGAAGGCTCAAATACAGATGCAGTTAGAAATTATTCAGCACCAAAGCTACAGGTATTTTAATAAAGATACAGATATTCTAAAGCCTGTAACATGAAGATTTATCAATATTTCTCCCTTCTAAAGCCACATTCTGTTCTTGTGGGTGAAGCGTTTGGATTGTTTTGTCTATATTGGTGTTCCTAATCTGCTAAAAATGCATCAAAGTTGTCATCATACCACGCACGACCGGTGTATCGAACTATAGCCATAAACAGTGAAATATCACTGACCTTATTCACCCTAAGGAGGAACGATGGCGATGATGATATTTGTTGAAGTTTTGTCGCGATTTTATAAAGATAACGGCCGCGGCAGACGCACGTCGCCACGGGCCCGCAAGTCTCGCACAATCCGGTGAGAAATACTCCCCCAGACGGTGCTTGAAATCCTTCCTGCTATGCGAGGTTTAACAATTCCGCGTCCTCGAGTGCCCTCTATCTCTTCTCCATTCTCCAAATCAGGGCCATCAGTATGCATTGGTGTTATGATCGTCACTAGGGGGCACGAGTTTTCAAAATGTCACGAAGATGTGCCCCCGAATAGGACTAGAAGCTTTAATTTGTGCGCTGCCCTGGCAGCGAGCGAGACAAGGACAGCCTGCATACAGAAGACAAAGGATAAATGGATTATCAGAGGAAATGTAACTCGATTGATGGCAGACTATACACATAAGGAAATACATTTTATACCAAAACTTCCCAAGCAGAACAACTTTATATACGGCATTTCCTGATGACAAATCGACCTAACAAATCCCGATAACAAATCGACCTAATCAACAATGCCAACGACATTCCGAATAGGCCTACAATTAAAATTGGCCCAAATCAACAATCTCAATGACACTACAAACATAAAACCCTTGGTTTTACACGACCTGTGAGTCAGAGTAATTTTCCCAGCTAATGTTAAACCAAGAAATGGATTGAAAAGTCCATTCTTGCCTCCTCAATGATCCGGTCTCGTCCGTCACAATGAGCAAACATTTTTTCCTGCCTCCACGATTTCGTTAGACCATAATCACAGGAGGGAAGAGCCGGCTAGGATCCAAGAGACAAATCTCTCCCCCTACCATCCCTTGAAGCGAATTGGGCAGAGGAGAGGAAATCGATACCTCGCATCCTCGATTAATTGGAAATCTTACTCCATATTCCCGGATTCGATGCCACTCAAGGTGGGTACAGTGCTTTTTAAGCCCTGACAAATCAAGGGTGATCCTGTCTGTTCCTCTATTTCTCTTCAGTACAAATTCGTTGACTTTATGGAGCATATGAAGCCTCCATTGACGCCGGGACGGTTTGAAGACTTGGTGAGCAATAAAAATGATAAAACCTGTTAAACGTATACCCAGCAAGAAATGAGACAGAGGGGTACCCCCCCCCACATGTCCATTCCCTATACACATCCCAGACTATTGTTACTTAACACATCCCCCCAAGATGTCTGAAAGGAATTCCCCAGATTCCTGCGAGACAATGACCAACACAAAGTAGGGGGGGTTATCTCCGTCTCATACCTTGCTGCATATGGTTAAACGTACAATGTTTCCATAACAACATCAACGAAGCTGTTTTACCAAAATGATATCACCGTGTAGTTCAAATTCACAGCGTCACGCAGTACCGTTTTTGCACCAATGTACACGTTACAAAGCAAAAGATGCAAACGTACACATGAATTCAAGATGGCGCACAGGCAGGAGAGAGATTCGTCAGCGTCAACCTCTGTCGATGGCGAAATGTACGATTTAGATCGTCTACGGGCTGAGATTGAACAGGAGAAGGATATTTAGTAAGAATTCGTGGTCAAAGTATGGGGAATTTATCTGTTTACTGTTGCGAAAAACGTGAAAGGCAGCCCCGGCATGACGTCACTTTAAGTTAACCAGGCGTACATGCCATAGCCTAGGCCTATTCCTCCATGTTTTAACTCGCGGCAAAGGGGCAACTTCGTGCTATTCAATAATGTACAGCAGTTCCCGGATGACCAACCGCAAGAACAGACCTACAAACCCTAAGCCTAGACAGCAGTGTAAATAGGGCACATCCGAAATAGTGCTATGGGCCTAGGCCTACTTCGGTTTGTACGGAATTTCTCTGTCATTAAAGACGTTATCTCTATGAACTGAGTATAATTTTAGAGGTCTTCTGGGATACAGTTTGATATTGGATGGGTGGGTTCGTTGACATTAGGCCTAGGCCTGTGGCCCATTACACCACGCAACCCCCACGCAACCCCCACAGCAGCTGCTCACTCGGTCATGTATGTCATTTGAAAGGTTATTGTTGTCGGCAGTATGACTGCTGTACCAATTACAACATATACAATGTGGCTCCCAACTCTTTCTTTTTAGTTTCCTTTCGCTCTCGAATGAATGTTGAATTTTAATTGGTTGAAGTGTGTGTCTATGATGGTGACCAACTAGGCCTACACGACGTGGCTCTTATTGCATTACGTCACGTAGACAGAAAATTTTGTTGGCCAAACATTACACATGTTACATGTACTGAAAGAGTAATCAGGGTTATGCTCCACATGTTCATCAGAAAAAAAAATTCATTTTACGGCAGGCAATGATGGGACTTTAATCAGTGGTGCATTATGAATGCGAGGAGTATGCCTACATTATAGTACACATAAAGTACATGTATGTCAGTTTGTATGTAACAGTTTACAGAATTCATGTACATGTATACTGAACATCACAGAAAAGGTTAAATAACAGAAAATCGACAATTGAACATGGCTTAAAGTAGTACATATACTTTTGTCAGCATGACAAATTGAAAATATTAATGAAGCCATGAAGGTCTTGCACTTTTTCTACTGTTGCAGGATACAGTTAGCAAAACCACCATTGCTTAAAATGGGCAACTGTTAAAACTATTTTAAGCACACAGTTCCTGTTTTCTGGTTTCTTTTCATCTTTGAAGTGGAATGCTGGAAAACTCAGTGGGAGACTTGAAGAGCACTGTCATTGAAATTGAAAGAAGATATGAGCTAGCAAATGAAGAAGGTATGCATTGAAAAGTGGATGATGCAATACTGGTTAGTAAGTTTTCAGAATGTAAATTTACTGTTCATACTACTTCAGAGACCAGAATTAGAAACCACTACTGCGGGCCATTCTGTTTGCATGGAGGTGGTATGCACATGTTACATTTCTCTCAGACCAATAGGGTGTTGTGACTTTTAACAAATTCATTTACACGCTCAAGTTACAAATCATCAATCAGTTTTAAACATGGGCTTGACTAGTAGAGATTATCTCTTGGCAGAAATCTGTCTCCTGTGCTGAAAGTGGCTGGAGAAAGCAGATTGATTATAATGAATGTACATGTAACACTCAAAGAGCATTGTGGGTGATCAAGATGCCCCCAAAAAGGACAGGGAATGTCTAGACAGGCATGGCAAGGGCCATATTGGTACATACAGGTTGTGATCAGCAATTCCATTGTGATTGACGGGTGTAATAACTATTACAAAACAGACAGATCCAAGCACTTGATAGTTGCGCACTAAGAAAGTCCTCAGCAATGACGAGGTGCATGGTGCAATGAGTTTTGCTGATGACTTTCTGAAATAGTTACACTTTGTAACAGCTGTTTCATGCAGTGATGTGTGAAAATTCAATATTTCAGAGCACCAAGAATTTCTGCTGCTGGCCACAAGATTGTGGGAAATCTGCATGGGTGTGTGCATGTAAAGGAACTGAGTTATGGTGAACATGTTCTTTACCTTCTTTTCAGACAATGAGTGGAAGACCAGGTGTGAGACACAAGAAGAACTTAACCAGCTGCTGAACAAGCAGATAGACTACCTGAGAGACAGGCTGGACCAGTCAAGAGACAGCGCCAAGGATGGATTCGAAAGTGACCTGCGCTCTTATGAGGAACTGTCTGAGGTCAGTGCCAGAAATGTATTGATTGATCACTGATTGATTGGCAGATCGGATGGTTTCTTGATTAGCGTGATGACTGACTGTTCATTATGCAGTTCCCAGGGTTTAAGATAATTTTCTTCAAGCCATGACTACAATACTTCCCACTTCCTTGCTCAGAGTAGAGTACAATATTCTTTTGCCCTCAGTATTGTTTGGTATTGTACTTTTCTTCGTGTGAGGGAGAGTACTGTATTCCCTAACAGGTGGAGAACAGAGTACCAGTATTATGCGAGTTAGTCCTTTTGCCTCAGTAAATGTAATAATACCTGCTATTTCTCTTGAAGAACACTGTGAAAAAACAGCACTTAGTGATAACCATGAACTCATGACACCATAGACAAAATCACACAAGTCCCTATCCGTTTTTGTATGGTGGCATGTCTTCTCTCCTTTTGTACACAGTAAACAATTTCGTGATTTAATCATGAATGATTGGAAATTCCACAAATCACTTCAGATATGAGGAGAGCATGTTTATCTGCAACATGTCATTTTATTTTCTTCGATATAACTGGTGATCTATATAGATAACCTTGTTAGACTGAGTAGACCTGTATATTGAAGAAGGCTACTTCTAAATGTCGCATTTTGTGGGGCATTGCGAAATAAAAATAACGCATCAAGTTGCATCTTCAGAAGTGAATGTACATGTAGTTGCTTTCATTGAAAACACTTTTCCCCTAATGCAGTTTGCTACCTAAATAGCCAAAATGCAACAGATTACCCCATTTGTTCAAATGGTCTTCTACTATCGATCAGGTCCCTGAAGTAACAGGAAAAGAAAAAAATCCATTATGGTGAATACCGTAGAATGTCAGGCATGGCTAGGAGTAACCAGGTCATTCTATTTGCATAGACAAGGATCGACTGTTGCCATGGCAATGCAGGGGGCCATTTACACAGCAGTGATATCAAGTGTCATTGCTCCTGTATCCCCATTTGCTCCCCCCCAAAAAAGAAGTTATTTGCCCTGAACAGTATCTTGCAAAGGAAATCTAATCGTGGGCTACAGTTCAGATAAACAGTGTCTTGATCTCAGTGAAACTAATTTTTTTTCCTATCAAGACAAAAAATGGCTTGCCCTGGCAATTATTAAATGTTTTTTTTACACAGATGACGAAGGTAGAAAAGGTCAAGGTAAACTTATATGTAAATTATCAATTATCAAACAGTGCTGGAAACAAAAAGCTATGTCATGCAGCTTTGTCAACTGTAAAATAATCCCCATTTTTGAAGGATGTCAAATACTGCCAAAGTTTGAGATTAGGACAAGGTCTTCAGATTATTCACTATGTACTATTTATTGCTTTCCGTCTCATTCAACAGAGGGTATATATGTACATGTGTAAACTGTAAAGTGTAAACTGAAGGGTTTGTGAACAGCAGCAGATGACCGTCATGTAATGAAGATGACAGGATGCCTGGGCTCAAAAAGAGGAAAGGAATACAGAAACCCACATTTTGATGGCAGAGCATTCTTGGTTGAGCAATGTGCCATTTGTGACCATGGCATGTTTTCCAGACACTGAGTCAACTCGAAGTGGGGGATTCAGCATTTTCTTTCTGTGCCTGAGTGCCCAAATCCATTTGCAGGATGTTGTGACACTCATGGAGACAGCATAACAGGTCGGGACAGAAATGTCAAGCATTTTATTTTTCCCCCCTTGGTCATTCTTTTGTGCAGGGCAGCTTGAGGAAATTACTGAAGCAAATCGAGCGAGAGAAGCAGAGCCTTGAAAGCCAGCTGAAAGATTACGAGTGGAGACTTGATCAAGAATCAAAGGTTCATCATGTTTAGTGATTCATGTTTCCGTTTTTTTCTAGGAAACTGATGTGAAGCGTGATTAGCATTTTGGCATTTATGAGATGATAAAAATTAGTTTTCGGTGAAACAATAACTTAATGTGTGAAAAAGCCTGTGTTTAAAGTGTACCATTGCAGCGTATGAAATGTTGGTTTTCTACTTGATATCAAATGTAATGAAGCATTTATTGATACATTGTATGGTAACTCGTATCTCCTTGTAGGCTTTCCACAAGGCTAATGATGAAAGGAGAAATCTGCAGACAGAACTCTTACAGGTACTCATCATGCAGTATAAACAGGGAGGGTTTACATACTTTTCTGTGGCAGAAAACATCTTTTTACGTATTACCCATTGACCGAGTTGTATTTAACATTTTCAGTTAACTGTTTGTCAAATGCCTTATTGACTCTGAGAAATGTTTAATTTTTATTTCACTACTTTTCTTTGGAAAAGTTCTTTAGAAGTTCAGTTAGATTTAAAAATAATAACTACATTTGAAACCTTTTGCACATTTTTAATAAGTATGAGAATGTTTTGATTTTGTTTATTAGGTTAGCTGGGACAAACCAAGTGCACATAATGGTATAATTTTACATTTCAATTTCAGGCAAAGCTGAAACTGGAAGAGCTGAAGTTTCCTCCCAACGCTAATAGTCCACAGAAGAAGTGGACTAGTCAGAGAGGGCGTGGAGTGGAAGAGAAGTAAGTGACATTCAGGGGAACCGGTTCAGTGCTTGTAAAAGGCTTAGACCATTTTTGACTTCCAAGGGGGCCTGGTAAGGTGATAGTGAAGAACTCTGTAAGTTAGCTGTGGAATGAAAGGAGTTAACTTGGGGAAAGAAGGCATGGGGGAAGAAAACATGGCAACTGTGCTTTCAAATGTACTCATTAAAAACTGTGACATTCATGAACTTTGTGAACAAAGCTTTGAGTGTAGTTTCACTTTTAAAGGCAGCCTGATAGTGTTAGACCCCTTGACAGGCCTGTTGGGAAAGGATACAATGCAAAATCTCTCAGCTGAAAGTGAAGATGCTGAATACACTCGTACAGAAATTGAGTGTATGATGGTGACCAACATAAAATAATCCTTTTCAAATGGCCAGCAAGATTTATTACAGACATTTGATCAATTTGGAAGGCACTTGATCTGTTGTGAAACAAAAGCAGAAAGCACTAGGATGTGGTCAGTCCAACTTGAAAGGGCTTCTCAGCTACATTCATGTGTCACTGATAAAGCACGTGGTTACCTGTTAGCACAGAGGAGAAACTTGGACTTCACCAGCCTACAGTCTGTGCATACAAATTTGTACTCGGCCTAAAATGTGGTATTCCTGTCCATGATGCCAAGTTACGCATAATTGTGTGCTCTTGCACTGTTCCTGGAATCTAGGTTGATAAAAAAAATTCTCTGAATTAATAGGCAGTGAACTGCACTGAGCCACTACTTGGGGATAAAGTATTGCATTAACCAGAAATACGTATTTTGTTTTCAGCGTTCCTGATGACCAGAGGATCTTAGACCCCAAGCACGGTCCCATCAAGAAGACTGCTGCCATCAAGAAACTGCCCAAGCTTGACACCTGATGCAGATGGGAGGATTGGATGGCGGAATCTGACACACAACTCCTTGGCTTTAATTTCATCAGGCTTGACCAAGTGCCTTAAGTGCTCACGGGTGGAGGGGGGGTTGTGACATCAAAAGGGTGTTCCAAGAACTACTGGTAGTCAGAACGGGTTAGTGATCAAATACAAACATGTTAAACTGATTTACTAATACAGTTTAGCACCGTGGTAATATCCACTGTGTTTGTCATCATACACTGTACAACTTCGTGGTGCCAACCAAAGAAATCATGGTTCTGCACCAGCAGAAACATTACGCTGCAATCAAATTCTTTGAATGTTTATTTCCAGTTGGAAATTTTGGGGGGCTTCACAAAAGTATACAGGATTTCCATCATGTAATGTTTACTTGATTAACTCTGGGCACTAGCTAAACACAATGAAGTCACAACAAGAAGACATCCGTCACAAACCTAGTATACATGGTGTATGCATCGCCGCTAAAAAATAAAGTTTATGTAAATTCTTTTCAAGACTTAAACTCTTGTCAGGAGACCTTTTTTTTGGGCAGTGCAATATACAATAGTAAATACACAGCGTCTACTTGAAACAGTGGTTGTGTTTTGTCTCACTTGTAACCTTATGAATGTAGTACTAATAAGCAATACATTTCCATTATACCGGCACTACGGTCAACATGCACATGTGCCTTCAAAAATCTGTAAAGAAAGAATTACGACGGCTTGACAACTAATATACTTATTACTCAACAGAGGTGGTGGTGGTGACAAGTCAAATTTTGCAAGTCCAAGTCAAAAACTGATAGTTACGAGTCAAGTCATGAGTCACAAAAATAGTGACTCAAGTCCGAGACAAGTCCAAGTAAAGTGACTTGAGTCTACAACTCTGTTTACGTAACCACATTTCTCCATCAGAATTACAGTAAGTACAGTGAGATGTACGACGTTGAATGCTTGATTACACAGCAATCAAGCAGTAACTTGACGTTAGTCTTACATAGATTCCATACTAATGACAAAGGAACTAAAGGACACATTCCGACAAATTATTGCAGGTTTTCATTTTATTTTATTTACAAACTCAGAAACGTCCATATCTTCACTAACCTAGTATGTTAGTTATAAGTTACTGATTAAGTATCAACAAAAAGGTGTTTTGTGAGTGAAGAAGGGAACAATGATTTGTAATATCTTTTAGTATTTTTTGTGTCAAAGACAGAATGGTTCCAATCATACTGAATCTCAGCTGAACCTAAAAGCCAGTTTATAAATAGCTTTTAATGCTTATATGTGAGTGTATGTATTGTGGAAAGCAGTAAATTTACAATTGCAGAAAAATGCAATGTTTTCTTGAGTTCAGAAATGCAACGTCCAGAGTAGTTAAGATTTGTGCAACAAATTAGAGCTGGGCACACAGAAACCCAATACTTTGCGGACCTGTGGGTATCGGTTGTGCAGGACAGTACCTAAAATTAGATTAAACTGTCTTGTGTTCCAGTCTAATTGTGGATCCTGTTTTCCTGAAGTCTACACATTAAGCCCATGACTGCAAGGCAGTTGTCACGTTTTACCGTCTTAATAGCGGAAAGGATTTCTCTAGGGAGGACAATGCATTCCCAGAAATCCTTCACAAAATGTCAGGATTTATTGGCTGTGGATGAGGTGCTGGATTTCGTGGTGAGTGACGACCCTCCCCTAGAAAACCTGGCTGTGCCCAGGTTTGTAGATGTACTTGACCAAAAGGCTGTTGAAAAATTAAATGCTACTCATGTTCATAGCTTATCAAGAATATTTGAATAGCTTTGTTGTTTCTCACATGATGTTGGAATATACATTTGAAGTGGTCTGTGTGCAACCTTAGAAAGGACAGTGGAGGAAATAGAGGACAGTTACATGGCAATCCAAATCAATAAAATCTCACTGTATTTGGTTTGATTTTATTGGCAAAACAAAATCTTAACACGACAGCTCAAAGTAACACAAATCTGTGATTTGAATTTACATAAAATTGAACTAAATTGCATTTGCAGACATCAGTAGATTTTGCACAAGTCATCTGCTGCCCGGTGCTAAGGAACAGGCACCCAGATTTCAAAGTGCTCACTCATCTTCTTGGGTGGTTCTGCACATGAAAGAAAACAGCAGTTTACCACAAATGTCATTTGGGCACTTATGAGCAGAAATACAAGGTCATAGAGTTGTCTTTTCACACCGTCATGGATTGATACACACAGTTCCAATTTTGAGGCGAGTTGCATGGATGTATGTTGTAATATTTATGCTCCCTACATGTACCTGTAGGTAGCATTTTTAATCCCAGCCCCTCTGCACCCTACACATCTAAAAACAGTTATCAGAGCAATGGCTATGAACTTTACAAATGCAAAAAACAACTTTCATTGGAGGAACATTTGTTGCAGAATTGAGCACTAAACATTATGAGCGTGATCATCTGAGAAAAAAGTGCACAAATCAAGAGATTAATACGACTGACCACAAAAGTCATAGCGTATGAAAACAAACTTTGACAACAGTTTATTGTATGAAAAGCATTACAAAATTCAATGTGCTTTCAAAGCACCTGTTGTATTTTCTTATTAGAGAGTCATCAACAGCAAAAAACATTGGGGTTGGTAATATACTACAAATAGAAAACTGCTTGCATGTTCAAGGGGAGCAACTAGCAAGACAAGGCATGGCAAAAGTGATTCCTTTTATTAGTACATTTTTAAGTAATCTGAAACCCACACAGCCCTCTGGCAACTAGCTGATGCACGCACCTTTCTGGAAGTCTTCCGGGTGCCTTTCAATGTAGTCATCAATGTAGAAATCTCTCCTGCCGAAGCGTTCTCTCTCCAACACCCCAAGGAACGAACCTATGCCAGCCCCAAACATGCTGTACAGAAAGTGACGGTGCATCCCTGCCAAGACCAAGAGTTACTGTTGGGTTAATGAGTGGAGTCAAGGAATGAGAACGACTGGTACATATACGTATGCTGCCAGCTTCCACCTTCAGTTGATACCCGTGTCAAATTGCATTAACACACTAACGTACATATAGGGTCATAAGTCAGGGGTGAGATTAGTGGAAATTACATGTCAACCAAATAATCAGCAGTGGTTTTGAGGGTCCTAGTGCGGGGTAGGGGTTATGGTATATGTGTGCATTAGTGTTTCCCAACTTGTGTTCTACATCAACTTTTGTAGACTAAAAACGCCTCACTGGTGCACTATGGAGCTTCCAGTTTTTAAAAGGGATTGTTTGAAAAATCCTGAAATCAGGAAATCCTGATGGAAAAAATCCTGATATCAGGAAAAATCCAGATAAATCTCACCTCTGACAAGTAAAACAACAAATGTTTTGTAATTCCAGGAAAGTCAAACACAAACACTGCTACTAACTGCTTGCTGGCTACAGTGGCCTAAAATATACCAATCAGAAAAGTTAGAGGGGCCTTCTGCCAGGATCAAACATCATCAGGCCCTTTATCTTTTTCAATTTATTTTGTTCATGAATTGTTCCCTTTTAGATATCTAGTTCACATGAATCATATGGCACTTATTATACAGACATGTACACTCACTGTCCACTTGTGCTGTGGTGCCAGCAACCAAACCTTCTTCTATGTGTATTTCATGCAATGCCTTTCAATAAAACTTGCTTTGTGTTCAATATTTCTTCCGTCGTGGAGAGTTTTATTCATGGTCTAAGTTTGAGACTATGGCATGAATTTTGGGCTGTTCTTGTGCTTATGAAGGAAGCCCTTTTTTACTAGGGGTTTTAAATAATTGAGAAAAAATGTGACCAAATAGTGTATGCATTGATCCACTCATTGAGCAACCAAGTACAAGTTATGGCTGTGATCCTATAATGATGGGGGTGACGTGATGTCAGCATTTTTAATAAGGCCGAACAAAAAATAGCTGTTTCTCTGGCTACCCAACCTAGAAAATCACACAGAACCTATATCTTTTTATTCGACAAATCAATCAAATATAAAAACTTACGGTGCCTTGCCCCAAGCCTAATTTTGTGTGCATCGTCCTGGACATTGTATTGTTCAAATTTTTTTGGGCATAAAATGGACGGCTCTTGTGTGTTTGTATTTCAACAACCAGCGGCTTTACTACTCAATCACACTGCTGATATATGATACTGATGTGCTCATGTACGAGTAATAATCTCACACTAACTTAGTACCGGTACCAGTTACAAATGTACGTGCCCCCCCCCCCAAAAAAAATACAGACCCATCATCCGACTCTATTTTTTTGGGCTATAGAAATTTATCATTTATTTATAATTTTTTTTTTCCAACTAACCACTCTGATTTATTTTTCAGTGTAAGAAGAAACACAACTAATTTTTTTTGTTTGGCCTAAAGGTAAAAACTGAAATTTACATGCACATGTACACTGCATATCTTAAATTTTGAATGCAATCAAGCTTTACCAATGAACCTTAAATCAAACTGAATCAAAGTGAACTCATATGCCTTTGGCACTTTAACTTATGTACATGTAAAACAATTTTAAATCTGGAGTGAACTGAATAAACAAAATCTAACTACAATAAAAAATTAAAAATCAATCACAAATAAAAAGGGCTGGAGTTCATGACTGACAAACATTTCAAATTACGCCAAATGTTATGCAGGGAATGCTCCATGTTTGTTCTCTACAAAATTACTCAAACAGATTAATTTATACTTTACCTTCATTATTTCTAACTTTCATAAACCATGTAGGCCCACGTACTAGTATTATTGAGGAACCCAATGTGATGCCTCCCCTAATTTAATGCACTTTTGCTTTTTGGCACAAAACGTTTTGTAGTTTAAGCCAGAAGTAAACTGAAAGTCAAACCTTGAATCTTGCGCAAATTTACTGTACTCCATCCTGAGCTGATTTGCCTTGGAATGAAATCCATTCATAGGATAATCAACTAACTAGGGAGCAATTCATTTATGAAGGATTCAGGATTGCACTAAACTGCATGACCCAACTTCACTGTTTGCATGCCTTGTCTCAGGCATGTGTTTTGAAACTTTCAAATCATTTTACTCATAGCCATTATTTCTTTTGAAGACAGGCCTAACATGCCTAATGGAACAACCATTTACAATACAACTTGGTAAAAGAATGAGTTTCAATGTCATTTATAAAAATGTGTGTTGACAAATGTATTAGTTGACAAACAAAAAACGTCCATAATGTGCGACAAGGATTTCACATGTGTAAATATAGGCCTACATACAGACTACGGCCTCCAAGTGTGGGCTGAAATTTCAATAGGGGTTGAAGCTCCCACAAGGCTTGAAGACTAGTTTCCTCTCAAGACCATGAAGACCGGCAAGAAAAACCACTGGAAAGAATGTTACATGTACATGTATGTTCTGCCAGCAGTTTTTTTATATTTAGGCCGTTGGCTGACCATTTCAAGAAAGCCAAGGCCATGACTGCATGAGTGTGGAAGTGCCCTGAAAGCTGATGCTGAAAATTTTAGGGGTGTGCGTTTATGGGTATTTTTGGAACCAAGTACCCATTTTATGTCAATACCGGGTACCTGGGTACCCTTAACACTGACCGCCTAGGCCCTTTTAGCTAGGATGTACCCTCAATCCATTAGAATCCTCCAACTACCCCATGAAAAAAAATGGATACAGCCTCAGTCCTCCAAATCCATCCAATATTTCTTGAATATGTTCTGAGGAGGGGTGCCCACTGCCTCAATCCTTCAAAATCATCAAGCAATTCTTCTTATTATGCAGTGTGGAGGATTTATTATAACGTGGGCATGATTTTATGTATGGCTGGACATCAACAACACAAGGTTTAACCCACAACCTTGAGACAATGCATCCTTTGCAATCAGCAATGCAATTTTGCCATGCAGCCTCAACCCTCCAAAATCCTCCAAAACCACCCGAAAGATTTCGAATGATTGAGGTGGTTAGGGTTAATATACAAAGAACTCTTAACAAATGCCATTGTGTGCGATCCTACGGACCATGTGCCCAAATCACGGCTCTGTTTTCATACATAGAAAGCAGCACATTGTTCTAAACATTAGAGGGGAATCTCCCCCACCTTTTTATTAAATGAAATGTTCCCTCTGATTTGTAATAAACGTAGCTCTGTTGGTCTCTGAAGCTGGGTTATAACTGCAGGTACAGGTTTTTCAGCGGCACGCTGATTTTTCAGCAATTCTGCCCTGCACTATTAAAGTTCAGATACATTCTATACACATACATGATATCTTTAAGGGTACTCAGCCCGAGACAATAGAATCTGGTTTGGATATCGACGGGTGGGTACCCAGCACAGGACTAACAAATTTCATTATTTACTATTTCAAACTAATTTTTACAAAAAAAAGGCATTTTGTGACTCAACTAGCATTACTAATCATTTGCCTGGCCACAGATGGAATGCCCAGTCCTCTCAAAAAGTGCAAACATCATGACTACCAATTTTTTTTTATTCAGAATTTTGACTCACGTTACGTAATTAATGGAAGTTTGATAGAACAGAATGGAGGTTTGACTACACAAAAACTTTTAAAATCCTGAAATTCTCGACCTTCAACTTTTATAGACAAAGTCACGACTGTTGCTTGTGAAACCAAAGACATGATGGAGGAACATTGTGACAAACAATGGAAGAAGTGTTATTTAACGAAATATGAAAAAAAGACTGATGTGTTTACAAACATTTCAGATGCCAATCTAGGAACCTTTTCGACGTTCGCAATGCATGTTGGGGTTTGGATGACAAACAAGCCATGCATTTTTATGCATAAACCTATGAGGGAAGTGAACCAGTCAGGGAAGTTAACTTCTTCTTCAGAAAATTTTTATATCTGCTCACAACCTCAAAGATGCATATGTATTACAATGTATAAAAGCAACATTTTCAAATTATGAATAATTTTTCAAACGTTTGTAGAGGAAATCACCCTTAACTGTCTTTTTTAGGGCCCCAGTCATTCTAGGCCCAAAAAACTTGACTGATCAATGCGGGATGAATGAGATACAAGTTGTGATTTTGATTGGACAATAGGCCTATTTGTGATCTTAGTCAAAGCATAATCCACGACAAAATTGTGTGTCCTGAATTTTCCTTTTCTCTGCCAAGCTTTAAACTTTGAAGCTTGTGAATAATCCCAAATCAATAATGCAACACAATGTCAAAAGAGGATGGCTTGAATTGGCGTATGAAATAAAATGGAAACAGATTCATGTTTTGCAGGCACTTCTCCCACGGGATTGTTCATAAAATGCACTGCTTGTTTGTCATCAAAACCCATAATGCATTGTTAATGTCGAAAAGGTTGATTGACTACACTACTAGTACTACTACTGGGATTGTAGGTCAACTCGCTCCCTGGCCAACTCGACCCTTACCAACTCGCCCCTTACTGACTCACCCCCTGACCGACTCACCTCTTACTATCCCGCCCCCTAGCCAACTTGCGCACTGGCCGATTCGCCCCCAAGCAAACTCTCCCCCTTACAAACTTGCCTCCTGACCAAAACGCCCCCTCAGAGGAGAGTCTGCTGGTTTGGAAATTTGGGCCATTAACTACATATCCAAAGTGATCAGAATCACTTTGATTAGCTAATCAGAATTCATTGTCTGGCACACATCATTACCTCGACCTACAGGTATTTAAATTGTTCTGTGCAACTGATTTTGTGTAAATCTCACTTTAAATATACTTGAAATAAAATGTTCTTTACTCTCAACTATTAAGCTGTGTTCGTCTTGTTTTTATTATAACCAAGTTATGACCATCATTATTATTTTCATAATAATTTATAATTATTATCCTAACTTCTTCAAGGACACTTACTTAGAAATGTAGTTAATGGTCCAAACCAGCGGACTCTCCTCTGAGGGGGCAACTTGGTTAGGAGGCAGGTTTGACAGGGGGTGAGATGGCAAGGGGGCAACTGAGCTGGGGGACAAGTTGGCGATGGGGCGAGATGGTAAGCGGCAAGATTGTCAGGGGACAAGTTGGCAAGGGGACAAGTCAGTAAGGGGTGAGTCAGTAAGGGGCGAGTTGGTAAGGGGCGAGTTGGCCGGGGGCAAGTTGACCTGATTCCATGGAACCAGGTCAAGTTGTGCCAGGACAACTCGTACCCAGGTCAATTCGTACCCCCAAACTCCCGCCCCAGTCAACTCGAACCAAGGTCATCACGTACCCAGGTCAACTCGTACCCAGGATAAGTCCATACGTTAGAATAGTGCTGCAGCCGATGCTCTGCACATGTGCTATAAATTAACTGTTCAGTACAGTACATACATGTACAGTAAACTTACGATGGCCCTGCATCACATGATGGTTGTAAAAAGCATGTGGTGAGATTTCACTAATAATCAACAAAGAACAAGCAACATACAGCGTTTCTGCTGCACAACCATTCTAAATTCTTTCTACATCCAGTTGTTCTTATGTATATTCAAATTTAGCATTATGTTTGCCAATCTCCGGTAACCACGCCCGTAAGTTTCATATTAGGCCACTGATGTCATAAATGGCGGTGCAAAAATTTTGATTGGATACTGATCAGAGTAGGCCAGGCAGGCCGCGCCGGTGCAGCGCTCCGGCACGCGACAAAATTTGCTTTGCGCGGTGGCCCAACTTACAAAGATTTTTTTAAGTGAAGGAGAGGATTGTATAACGTAATTAATAAATTAAAATTCATTAAAAAGTTGATTCTTTGCAACCAAAGAACCATTGGTAGGATTATCCACTGATGACAATAATACATGCAAGGGTACGAGTTGATTGGGTACAAGTTGACTGGGGTATGAGTTGACCTGGGTGCAAGTTGTCCTGGGTACGAGATGACCCAGATTCAATTCCACTACTACTAGGCCTAGTAGTAGTAGGCCAAGCATGCCTAGGCCTCCATGTACTACTACTTACTAGCCATGCATGACTGATACACAAGCACTGACATGACTGGTGCGGAGTCAGGTAGGTTCACGAAGCAACATTCTTTCCCAACCATGCGCCAACCATTTTCCCAAAGGAAAGTACAACATGGTCATGATGGTTTATCCCAAGAACCTGGATGTTTTATAATGAAAACCACAACTATGTACACTACGTACACAAGCCGGTCATACTTATTAACGTCAACACAACTTCAACACAACATTAACACGCGTCAACACATGATAGTAATGTCAACACTCTGTCAACACACCCAAATCACGTTCTAAATTCGATAGCAATACAATGCCTAAAATACAATTTGGCCAACAACAGTGGGCAACATTTGGGGGGGGGGAAAAAGCCGTTTTATTTCACGAAAATAACACCCTCCGCACAGCCACGGAAGACGGTACATGTACCAGGTTGTCTCTCGGTCAGACGGACCATACCATTATGCTACAGGGGGTCACCTTTATACAGTAAACCATAGTATGGTCCAAACGCCATGAGAAGGCAAGATGGCAGTGAATGACGGCGCTGCTCAGAGACAATTTTTTTGTGTGAAAAAAATCCCTTGAAATGTAGTAAAAGGTAAACTCGATTAAGTAGAAATTATTCCTAAGCGTATACGTCTGTTTTCTGTTTTTAATACATTTTGTAAGTGTTGAAGGTGTGTTGACGTTACAATCAATTTGTTGACGCTGATTAGTACGACCCACACAAACTGCATGACCTACCATGCCTACCATCCCTACGACGAAAAATATGAACACCACCACCTGGCCATGGTCAGGCACTAGCGGAAAGCCATGTCCATCTTTAATTTGTGTTTATTGTGCAAATTTCAACCCTTACCAGACACTGCAGGCCTTCTCATAAGAGCATTATGAATAATTGATGCAGCCAGTCCATAGCATCCAAACATAAACGTGTATTTATTGAGATATGAGGTGAGATTTTTTTGCGACGAAGACATTTTTTGCCACCCGCTCGTAGATTTCACGCCAAAATCAATAGTCGGCTCCCCTCACCGGGGCATGAATATTTCCCGACTAATATAGTCTCCTTGTAAGTTTCGCACGTTCAGAAATAAGACTCATATTGCAGCCCGGAAAAAAACCCAGTGTAGATCGGTTGAGGGCAGCATAACATTTGGACGATAATTACAACTGCACGTAAACACATGAAACAGACGCATGCATGATCGACTGCCGTGAAATTAAGCGCCTGAATTGAATCGTCCTTCCTCCATGGTCAATTTTGCACCTTGTTAACGTATGATTCCTTCGTATGTCTCACAGTACACAACTATTAAGTTTAACATACAGGAAGCGCAGTAGAAGGCAAGGTATAGTATTCGAACAAACATGATAAACTGAATATTACCGAAAATGGGTCACTTGTTGGGAGACATTCCCATAGGACCGGAACGTGCACAAATTTTTGCAAACTTTACCGTCCCATAATTCAATATTCCCTGATCCGATCTTAACCAAACTTTGAACGTTTTTCTTTCAGACCCTAATCTATCATCTCTCAAAATGTGGAAAGTAAAAATTTTCCTCTTTTTGGTAGTTGGAGCATTAGGGAGACATTGAAATGTCTCCCTAATGACCGATGTCTCCCTAATGTTGAAAAATTTACAACACAATGTCTCCCAAGTGACCTACATGTATTTGGAAATATTATGCTAAGGCTCATTTTATGTTCGGGGCCCAGTGCCGGCCCAGCCGGGGCATTAATGGGGCGTTTCTTCATAATTCCAATGAAATCCATATACGCAGAATGTACCTTAGTTCTCAACTTGAAGCAGGGCCTACTTTTGAAATTTTGAGTAACATCACCCCGAACAAACAATTCTAGATAGATCTGCCCTGTGGACATTTTTTTCAGAATTTATAGATAATGCTTATCAAATTGTGAATCATTCCAGTTAGTACTAGTATCATATGAATAGTTTAATAGACTCTTCATATGATAAATTTGTGGACTTTTTTAATCAAGTCCATACAGGTAATTTTTCACTTCTTTCTTTAAATACACGTAGCTTACCCAAAGACATAGACCACCTAAAAAAATTTTATATTCAGTTAATTATATGATTTCTCTGTCAGCGGATTGTGTGAAACCTGGCTGCATGAAAATTCCTATATAAATAATTTAAACATACATGTACCTGGATATACTCTTCTGGCTAAAGACAGAGTTGGCAAAGATGGAGGGGTTGCCTTATATTTATCAACAAATCTCCAATATGTATTTAGACCTGACCTGAACGCTTTATCGGACAACTCTTTTGAATGCATTTTTATTGAAATCGTCACACCACAAATCCATAAGAACCTTATAACTGGGATTGTATATAAACCCCCGATGCAAACTTTGATTGTTTTATTACTAACTTTAAAAACCTTTTCCAATTAGTCACAAATGAAAATAAGCCTTGCTTAATTTCAGGAGATTTTAATCTAAACCTTATTAATTCTAATACTAATAGCCAGTCTCAGTAATTTTTGCCACTTATTACCAATCCAACAAGGGTCACTTCCACATCTGCAACTTGAATCAATATATTTTCTAATATATTACCCCCTCCTAAATCTGGGATCTTTGTTACGGATATATCTGATCATTTTCCTATATTTACTTCCTTTAGCTTGACTGTCAATCGTCTTAGTCCACGCGTCACTTCCGTATGTGATTATTCTCACGAAAATTTAACCAACCTGAAACAAGCACTTCACAAATATGACTGTTCCTCACTCTTTAATATGCAGGACGCTAATCTGGCATTTACTAAGTTCATGGATGTATTTAACACTCACGTTGAAAAATATATCCCTTATAAACATAATCAATCCAGGTCACGCAAATCCACTCCTAAATCGCCATGGGTCACTGTTAATTTATGTCAATCTATTGAGCGTAAGAATAAGTTTAATCATAGGTTTATGTCAAATGATGTCACAGATGCAAATCGTACTAAATACATACGCTATAAAAACATCTTAACTAGTGCTATTCGTACTTCTAAACGTAATTATTATACTAAACAATTCAACAAAGAAAAGGGTAATATTAAAAATACCTGGAAGATAATTAATCATATACTCCACACTAACTCTAAACTGCAAATAAGTACTATTGATATAGAAGGTGTTGCTACCAGCAATCTACACTTGATCACTAATCATTTTAATGAAGTTTTTACCGTACAGATATTGGTAAAAACCTCTGTAATCAAATTCCTTCTAATGATCTCAATTATTCTGATTATTTACTGGACCCTCAACCTAATTCTACGTTCTTAAGTCCTGTTTTTGAGGAAGAAATAATTGACATTGTACATATGTTGCCAAACAAAAAGAGCTCTGGCTTTGATTTAATTAGTAACTCACTGGTTAAGGAAGTGATTCGGGCAGTCTTCAAACCGTTAACCTTTTTTATGAACATGTCTGTATCAACAGGTGTAGTATGCTTGAAATCTGGCACTTTTAAATTTTCACACAAAAGTTCATTTGTGCATTATTTCATGTGTAAACCACAATTTAGCTCTCATCCTATCACTGAAAGCTGAATTTACCTATTATTATTCTATCGGAACACTTTATTAACCGTATAAAAATAGCATTATATCCCACAGTGTTTACAAGATGGATGAAGAGCCTGGTTATTCCTCGTCATCCCATGATCTCCTGTCAGCAAACATGGAAGAAGTCCTAGCAATGATTGATGCCAGCATTACAGCTGGTGATCTTGGCCACGCCTTCAGCGGTTACCTCCTCCTGCTCCAAGATAACCGAACATGCAGGGATCGCATCCACGATGACTTCACCACGGTTCTTCATCAGTGGGCGGAGCAGCAGGAGGCTGCTGGCAGGAGGGAGGAGGCTCTATGGTGCTACGAAGTTTCCAGGAGACTGTGGCCTGAGAATGCTGAGATACACAACAGCATGGGAGTATTCCTTCACAAGTGAGAACTATGCACAAATGAAACTTTATCTTGTTTGTTCATCATTTCAGATTGTGATTTTTGGAAGTCATGTTTCTCTTTATAGAACCCTAAACTTTAACAGTGATCTTTGAACTCAAACTCTCCAATGTTCCAGATTAGGCCAGGAAGAAGAGGCAGCGTCATGTTTTCAGCTGGCACTGGAAATCGACCCTGGATTTACCGGTGCCCAGAAAAACCTGACCAATATGGTCAGTTCCCCATTCCTGGGCTGGCATTTCCCAATGCTCAATGACAAGAGAAGGAACTTAGGTTACCAGACTGCCATTGCCAAGGCCGTTTCATGTGGGCATGATAGGGTACTGGACATCGGATCTGGTACCGGACTCCTAAGGTTGGTATAAACACTGATTGAAGGCCTTTAAGCGACGAGGGGAGTCTCTTCCCTAAGCAAACTTTTTTGAATTCCATTATCCTGATGGAATATTTTTGAGTGATTTGCCATCTGATCTGTAATTAGTCTGCAAAATTGCAACTTCCAACTTTCCCCTGGAAGTCATCCATTTTGTGTCGATTTGTCTAAGAAAAAACAATGGCTGCAGAGCAAAGGGTTTTTGTAGACTTATCTCAATATCTTGCCTTTTTGCAGGCAGATCGAAAGGAGAAAGTGGACAACTGTTCAGAACATGATTCAGGTTTTATGAAACTGATATAAGTTTAAAACATGGAGTGATAATGGTACTTTGTGCCTTTTGTGTTTGCTAACCTTCACGTTTATTTTTCACCTGTAAATGCAAGTCTGTAAAATATTTAAAGAATTCTTGTAACTAATTTCAGAACTGAAGAGAATTAATTCCTATCCACATCATCACTGCAGCCAAAAAAATACCGAAACCACTTTTCCTCAGCAGGAACTTTTTTTTCATTATGCAATCCAGTATGTTTGCTGTGAATGCTGGGGCCATATCTGTCCATGCCTGTGAAGAATCAAGGGAAATGTTGAAACTTTCACAAGATATCCTCACAGCCAATGAGATGCAAGGTAGAGTCCATCTGCTGCATAAATTATCAACAGACATGGCGGTGTCAGATGATATACCAAACAGGTAATTGTAACATTAACCAGAGTTTCAAAATCACTTTTTTTCAATCAAATCATTTCTTTAGATTGGAAAAGATCTAAAGAAAGGTGTGAACGCAGCAGGTTTGATGACCCAGTTTTATTTGTTAAGTTGAAAAGAACAAAATAATAATTTGTTTCTGAAATCTACAGAGTGTCCCTTGTGGTGACGGAAATCTTTGATGCTGGACTTTTCGGAGAAGGAGCTGTTACTACCCTGCAGCATGCATGGAAACACCTGCTACTGCCACCCAAGACATCCAGCCCACAGGTAATTCAATAACCAAAGATGTAATCATATGAGCCTGACAGGATATGTGTTCTTGAGCAAGATACTTAACAGCAATTGATTCTCACTACTAATGCAGCATACAGAAAAGCTGACTTAGTGACCTGTGTCTGTCATATTAATTTTAAAATTGTTATGGCCAACTCAGTGAGTTTTTTCTACCTCATGTGTGTGAAATTTGGCATTGTGTGAATAGGACAGATACGTGCACTGTATTACAGCAAAATGCTGGTGGTAGTTGTGAATGCTATTCAAACAGGTGTTTTTTATCTGACTACAGACTCCAGGGTCTTACGGCCGAGTGATCCCTGCTAGAGCTACTGTCTATGCCCAAGTTGTTCAGTGTCAGCACGTACGAAAGCAATACAGGTGGATAGTGTTTTTCATTTACATGTCATTTGTTTAGGTCCATGAAGTACTGGAAAACCTGTTCATTTGAAGATTTTTCTTTTGAAATGGCTGTTTTTCAAAATGGTTTTGGCAAACTGGAAAAAAAATGCTCTTGATTTTCCTCTGTATAACGTTTTACATAGTGCCACACAGGTTCAACGAAGTACATAGCATTTTGTGGAATGATTTATAATGTTAAAAGTTAAGGCAGACAGATCAACGTAGGGTGGGGCAGGTTGGATAGAACACTGGTATATTTTTTCATTAATCAGAGATTGAAATCTTGGTTTTTCTTCTTTTTTCAATATACAGATTATCGAGTGAGACAATTTGTAACCTGGACATGAGGACAGGGAAGATTGGCTCTAAATGTCAGATGTCAGGATTCCAAGAGGAATGTTCGAACTCAGAGAGCCCCACAGAGCCTCCCTCATCGGGGGACCAGGCAATGGCACAGAGAACTGGACCTCAAAGACATCTGGGAGGCTCTAAGGAAGAACCTCATTCCAACATGGGCTGCCGGAAACCGATATCAAATATCGAGGACCAGAGGTCATTGAAGGTCAGCCGTGGAGAACCATACACCTCGGAGAGGCTCCAAGAGGTTCCTCTGAGCTACCAGGCATTGACTCCAGCCATCAAAGTGCTGGAGGTAAACTTTGAGAATCCTCAGGTCAGTGAAGTAGCAACTTAGTAAAGTCCCAACAACACAAGTCTATTCCGGAATTTGTACGGGTAGACCCTGCTGATAACAAAGTCAACTTTTTGTCACAGTGGTCATTTTGCAGTGAAATTAAACATTTTTTTCAAAAAGTCATCCACATGTTTGCATTCAGGCAAATAAAGCATCCTTTGATAGAATTAACGCACCCAGTTCTCAATGATGCATTAAAATTAGTCTGTCTTAACACAGCTTAGCATATCCACGAATAATTACATTTTGCTTTCAGAGATTATGTTGTTCAATTTTTCTTTAAAACTTGAAGTGAAAAGCTCAAACTTTAGTGTAAAGTTGACCACCTGGCATTGATGCATGTCTGGTGAGTACACTACCATGACCCCAATTGGTCATTATGTAGTCTTTTCAGTGAAAATTATCATAATTTACAGTAATAACCCTTAACAGACATTGTTTGGTATTGTTGGTAATGGAGCACCCTCTTTCAATCATGCACCAGTGGATGAGGAACATGCTTCTCTCATTCGTAGGAGGTAAGCTCCTCATTGCTGTCGTGGACGGTAGAAGGATTCTCAGGATGATTTGCAATGGGTGAGCAGAGGGTAATCATTCGACGTGCCTCTTGTTGGAATTCCCTGTTCCTGAGGAAATAAATCACAACGTTAATCCAGTTGCTAGATAACAGTAGCGCATAACTGCTGAAATTTGTAACGTCAAATGAAGTACTGCTCTCTTCCATTGAGTTCAGAATGACGATTGCCGGTATGACAGTGACTGCAAACATAATGGTGACAATGAAGACTGTTTTTGTACCCCTGTTTATCATGATTCTGTGCTGTTGAGGCGGTGCAATGTCCACAACAGCACTGGCAATTTGGGCCTGGTTGGCAATACGCCGTCTCTGACGGCGTGCTATTGCAAACATGTGGGCATACAAGGTCAGAAAGATGGCTAGTGCGAAAATCAAGAATGCTATTGCTACAGAGTTATACACCACCCCATGCCTGACACTCCAACCACACTTGAGAATAGGGTCCACTATCCTGTAGTCCCACTCGGCAACAAAACCGTAGACTGTCAGCACGAGGAAAAAGATTATCCAAATGCTGCACACCGTGATCCGCGCTCGCACAACGGTCACCAGAGAGGGATACCTAAGTGAGAACACCACAGAGATGTAACGGTCAACAGTAAGTAGCAACAAAGAGTAGATGCTCGTTCCATGGGTGTAGTGGCCAAACATAGCATGCACAGTGCACAGGAATTCTCCAAATGGCCACGATTTGGACGCCAGCAGGACCACAGTAGGGATACCGGGGAAAATCCCCACCATCAGGTCGGAGAAGGTCAGAGAATACAAGAACACCTTGGAGGTGTCATTGATGTTCTTGACCCGCCGTAGCACCCACAGGCATAGAGTGTTCAGGATGATGATCAGTGCAACGATGACTCCGATAACAGATGCTACAATTATATCAGTAACCGAATACACAAGTCCGCATTCATCAGACTCAGTGGAAGCAGAAGTGCTTTCCAACAAGTCGTGGCCTGCTGTTTGATTCATTTTTGTACTCAAATCTCAATAATCCATTTGTTGTTGCTCATCAGTTACTGCAGATGGAGTCCTCCCAAAACGATCAGAAAATGCAAAGTATTCTGAATTTCATCATGTGCATAAAACATGTTACCATGCATAAAAACCTATTGTTTTATCACACTTGCTGTTGTCAGTATATGTGTATTAGCACTCATCCATAGTGACTGTTAAATGCTCTTATCATTTCAAACTTAGAGACACAGCTGTTGTGGCCAGAGTTTGTACTTCAGTTACCTTTTTATGGCTCTTTGCACATGCCCACATGTACCTTTCTCTTCTCCCCCTACTCAATTATGCCCAGATCCACAACTGGCCTGTGGAGTTCAATTACATTTTGTGTCAATAAATCCCTGGCTGTCGGCAAATTTATTTGGCCAGCAATTTTTAACTGCAATTTAGCCATGTGGCATGCTTGCATGGAGTTCATTTATTACTCGTCATGCCCATCAATCAAGATATGTCAGAATTTAAATTCTAATCGAGGACTCAGTTTATTATTACCCAGCTATTAATGGTATTGTCTGCAATTGTTTAAAGTCAATATTGCTGGTATAATTGTTTGATAATTAAAATACAACGCAGTGAGATTTTGAGTTATAACTCATTTGATGCGCTCAGTTTCGTATTTTTCAGTGGCATAATACACATCTTCATGTGATATGTACATGTATGTAAGGCTTCAGAATTACATGTGCATCACATTCATATGGTCAAGTTCAACTTGAAGTATTGTCAAGTGGGCTAGACCATTTCCAACCAGGCATTTTTTCACTGGATATTTGTTCCAAATTGCTTTTCCTCATCTCCAGGGCTGTCACTGTCCAGGGCTTTGCAGCTTATTTAGTATCTGAAAATAAGCGAAGAGTGAGAAATGATGATTTGATGAACAAGTAGCATCAGAATTCTTGCACATACTTCAAGTGTAAAGACAAGCATATACTATGTCATTTGAATTTGGTACAAAATATGTGTATGTCTAGTGATTTGTCTTTCTTTTTTCTGTCGATAACAACTAAATATGGTCCGTCTATTCTGACACACTGTAATATTCATTTCGGCCAAAATAACATGAAGTCAGTCTGCTTGTCCTCTCTTCATTGTCATGTTGCTTGAGGCAGATTGGTGTATTACCTGGCATTCATTTTTCAATTTTTGTGAGAGAAGTTGATTAGAAATGGTGTGTCTCTGTTTGACAAGTCAACAAACTTACCATTCAATTACATGGTCAGGATGTTACTTTTACAATGTACATCATTTAGTGGTGTACTGTAGCTAGCAATTAGTTATGTAATCTGGTGGAAATAGACAAGTGCATTACCACCTTAGGCATAAGGCGGTGAATGTGATAATGTTGTATGAATGCATACAAAGTTTGTTTAATCTTAAGGCAACCAACCTTTTCTTAAGTTTTAAGTAGGACTTTGTGGCAGTGTATAAGGAAATGTTTATGGATCTGGACTTATCGTGTAATCCTTGGACATCAGGACATCATCAAACTTGTTTCTGTACTTTGTAGATTCTCACAGCAGACCATCCGACTAGTGACTGGAAGCACATTGACTTCCCCGTCACTGGCAGTGGCCAAGTAGATGCCATCCTGTCTTGGTTTGAGCTCATTCTGGATGAGACGCAGACACTCAGCAGCTCACCGGACAGTGGGTCCTGCTGGGAGCAGGCAGTCTTCCCTGTGACCCCTCGAAACTACTCCCCCCCAGGGTTAAGGGGTAAGTGACTGTAGAGATAGACCCGTTCCTGTGGTTCAGGACTGTGGGACTTATCTGTGGGACTTATCTGTGGGAAGCCTAGCAGCTGAAAACAAAGAAATAAATTGAGGTTAATCCCAATACTAACCAAACCTGAGTTGCATACATTGAGATTCTAATATCAGCGTCCAGGGCTGTAAACAAAGAAGACAGAAGAGAAGAAAGAAGCAGAGGCTTGCCTTTTAGATTGCTGCAATCTGTTCAAATATTGTAATCATTGGCATCTTCTTCTCAGTTTTCATTGTAGGGAGAGTAAAGCGGTGTAACCAGTGCAAATTATAAATTCTAAAATCTTGTACTTACTGCAAAAGGGTGACACATTACCTGGAGAGAACGGCAACATAAATTATTCACAGTAAAGTAAAAAACCCTCACAAACAAGTGCACAGCGCAGTAGTGACCACGCCTTTCTGACCACACCTTGCTTTATGAACTTTGTGGGAATTTAGGCTGCCTACCCCATTGGTCGCGCAGACCTGAAAACACTGGTGTAATTTCATCTTAAGTCCCAACAAGCTGAGGAGAGTACCAACAAAAGAGAGTGAATGATGCACCATTAAAACTCACCCCAGAGCCAATGGACCAAATAACTGTTTCTTAAAGGGGCTAGCTTAGTTTGGAAAAAACATACACACGTTTAACTATCAATGTTGCGGCTATGTTCGGGAGTTTTTAGAAGGAAAGACTTTTCTTAGCTAGTTTCGCATGCACTGTTGGCTCCCATTTGCTCCAGGTTTTCTTTGCATGCAAACATGGATAAGTTGATATCATAAAGCTTTCATCCCTACCAATCATTTTTGCTTTCGAAATAATTGCATACAGGGGACTTTGAAGAGGATCTTTGTGTTAGAAAATGTGACAACATTTCTGTAGCTGTATCTTGCCAAGATGAGTGCCTTCATCTCAGATGTGAAAAGATTACCCATCAGGCCGTATCCAAGATGGAGGTTTCCCCGACCAGTGCACCAGCTGTGACCCATGATGAGGATATGGACCACATGGTGACTAGTTTTGAGAGAAATCTTGTCACTTCCTCAGACTCACCTGAAAGAACTCAGAAAGAAAATGGGGCTGGGGTTTCCGATATTGATATCCAGGCTTTGTATATGTTTGATATGTGGGAATCAGATACGATTGCTGTCCTGAATGACCACAAATTACACAGTGCTTGTTACAGTGCAATAAAGACCATCATTTCTGAAAGCAGACTGCAAGCAAGTAAAGACTCGTCATCAGGAAAACCAGGAGTCCTGATGAAACAGCAGAGCACATCTTCTCACAGTTCCAAAACCTCTTCAAGACCCTCACAGTTTTCTGTGCTGGACTTATCAAGCTGTGTTTCACTAACCGGCCTTTTTGCCGCCAAGTACTGCCCATCAACAAGAGTCTGTTTACCAAATAGCCAACCGAAGGTCAGATCTCTCATCAAGACTATTGCTACAACCAATAGGATGGAGGACTGTGTGGACTTTAGGGCAGAGCCACACCCCCTGAGTCCATCCTCGGAGGCGGCGTGGGACGTGCTTGTGGCAGACTTGGTGGCACCCTGTGGCACATTGAGGGAACGTGTGCTGGAGGACATTGCTGTTGGCAGGTCAGCCTCAGTCACCCAGGAACTTCCCTCAAGCTGTCTCTGAATGAAAACATGGTTGGATTCTATCCTGTGACCAGCAGCTTGCTAGTGCAGGCATCCCAAAAATGCGCATACCATGCTTGATTGATACTTTGACTTAAAATTTCTTTATTGATCTTATCGTATACCAAAGTACTCCATAGACCTAGCCAGCAACACCCTTCACTATACCAATGCAGGAAGCCTAAACACCCAAACATCTGCTCTAGATAACCTTTTATGCTGTTTGCCCCAGCTAGCAACATGTATTACACAAATACTGCAAATACCCTGAAGTATAAATTAAAGAACCAAGGTGGGATTCTAACCCACGGCCATCTGCTTTCTGGTGCAGGCATCTCCAATCACTACCCTTGCCCCCAAGTTAAAATCATGTTCTGACCCAAATCTCATACATGTACCTGTATTGTGTATCTAGGGTGTGCGCCTTGAAGCCCACAGGCCGAGTCCTACCAGCCACGGTAAATGTGTTTGCCATGTGCATAGAGTGTAGCAGTCTACAGCGAGACAGTGCGGTCCTGGGCACAGACTCCACCATGGGGCTGAAGATTCATGACTTGATCAACAAATACAAGGTGGGAAAATGAATATTCAAGCTTTGCATTAATTTCTAGTTTTTATGGTTTGTGTTTGGTAAAAAAGTTTATCTCAAATCCTGACCTTTATTTAAGAGGTTCCCATTACTAACTTTAGTGGCATATCCAAATTCTTTCTGATTCTACAGTACACTTCATTCTTGAAAGCTGAAATTTTGTTACAGGTGTCCACATTTCTAGACATTCATCTATCAGCGCGTGCCTACAAGCAGCTTAGCAGACCCTTCTTGGCTTTTCATCTTGACTTCAATGAGACACCAAACCCTGAAACTGCTGATCTGCCTAGCTTCGTCAACCAGACCACGACCAACGAGTTTGAGGCCACTGACGATGGCAAGATCACAGCTGTACCCTTCTGGTACGACATTGGCCTGGACCCATCCAATCACGTCAACACACTTGACAATGAGACACACTGGAGGCAGGCAGCTGTTCTGCTTCCAGAGGGGAAGTCTGTCCGGAAGGGGGATCAGGTGAAAGTGACTGCTAGAATTGAGGACAGTTCCTTTTTGTTCACTGTTGAGTTGAAGAGGTAGCAATTTTTAAGAACAAACATCCAGATTTTCTCCGAGCAGAATTTACAAGAGTTAACTCAACTTATGGGGCACGTGTTTGCTCTCACTTGCTGTCCAACTTCACAATGCACAAACCTCGAAAACTGCAGTGGCAAAGATAAATGTTTATTTCCTCCAGTCCTCCTTACCCCATGTTCGTAGATTTTTGTCTCTCCAAACCTTTATATGTAAAATGAACTCTCAAAGTGAACGCATTAAGCACACGACTGAGCATGCAGTTAAGTGCTTTAGACTATTAACTCTAATCCACCGTGCTTTTTCAAAAAAAAATGGATTGTGTATCTATTTTTTAAAAAGGTGAGGAGTATAGTGTGAATCCCGCCCATTTTTTTTATCAGAACTAACACTATATAAATAAATCAAAATTGGCAGTACTTGACAAGTTTTGATGTTATATGTACCAGATGACACTTGCATCATGTACCATAATGCCATCACACACATATGAATTAGGTTTCTGTTTCAATGTTTTCTCATTGAAATATCTCGTTATCTTTCAACAGGCAGATATTGAAGTAACATCAAGAAATCATATTCATGTATTTGTACTTTTGGACTCAAATGCAAGAAACAACAAGCCAGTTAGCAGCAATAGAGCTATAGGCACCATTGATCTTACTAGAATCTTGTTAGTAATATTACATGTCTCTCTTAGTTTCACCTCTGTCCTTTTTTAAATATTATCTCAAAGTTCACAGTTCAAGTAGTACAACTAGAATTGTTGATGAGTCTGGTCTCTCTGGTCATTGTAAAAATAGGGGTATATTTCAGTGTAAAACTCCACAGATATGTGGAGTTGGTAGTGAAGTGGGTATAAGGGTCAGTATGTGAAAAGGGCTTGTGTGTGTGAGAATGCAGATATCTTATATTTCCAAGTAGGGATTATGAAATGGAATCACATAGATTTTATGCTGTGTCACCTAGAGTATAATTGTAGGGGATTGTATTTCTCACGTTAATACCCAAAATAATATGCAAATTACTCAGTGGAAAAAATAAGATATATTTTTCAGTGAAATAGATTTTTGTCTCCTGTATCACATCTGCAATGCCATATCACCAAACTTTGAAAACTGTAACACAATGTTGCCTTTTTAAAAGAGTGTGTTAACTTAAATGTTATGTAAATAACAAAGAATCAAAAGCATTAAATGTTGTCATATGTAGAGATATTGGCATATAACCTTTACAGCTCATGTTTTGCGGTTTAAATTTTCCTGTGATTCTTATGTTTTAATGGTGATGAAAACGAATGCTGCATATTTGAATTTATTTTTTTAAAACTATTGGTGTTTTATTTAAACATGAAGTGAATTTGTTAAATTAGTCCAACTTCAACAAACTCGGGTACATGTGAAAAATCGTAGTATTGAAAGTTTTTCTCAGAATACATCTACCAATACCTTCTTCAATCGTATAAGTGTAAGTAGACCAAAACAAAAATCTTCAGACCAATCAGCAGTTAGCATCAACAGTGGAACCGATCAGAGTTGGGATTAAATCTGCATGATGAAGGTCATGATACCAAAAGAGATAAACAGTTCAAACATGATGCACAGTACAAGCAGGAGGCAGGTGCTGACATCAAGAAATTCTTGCGCTGCCATATTTTGTTCCCCTCTGTTTTCTTCAAACTGAATGGGTCATAAGTCTTTAATATTCATAAAAGACCAGCGTGTGTGTGTGTGTGTGAGCTGCACCCACACTTACAGCCTCTTTGTTTAGAGACAGATGTAAATAATTTTCACACAAGGAGACAAACTTCATCTGTTCGAAGGAAAGAGAGTTTTTAGGCATCAGAGCTCCCGAAACCTTCTTCGCCCTGTTTGCCCTCCGCGCGACGCTTCTCATTTTCCTCCATAATGCTCGTCACAGTGTGCGCCATTTCCGAGTCCATCGTGGGAGACCGATGACTCTTAATCTGTTCCCAGTCCATGTCCTCAAACGTCATGCCGGCATAGCTGACCTTCTTTGCTCGCTTCTTACTAGTTGCCACGGGGGTATTCTGGGAAGGATCTTTCAGTTTGTTCACGTCTAGATCGTCGAAGGTCATGCCTGCATAGCTGACCTTTTTCACTCGCCTCCTTTGTGGCGGCGCATCTAACCTCCCATCAATGGGCAGGTCATTGTCACTGTCATTGTCATCATCTGTCGGAAATTCATCATCAAGAGAGTCATCTGTGTCACAGCTGATATCGTCTCTAGACTGGTCGTCGTTTGGGGGGGTTGCTTCCAATTCCTTTGGATTCACCTCTGTTTCAAACCCGGGATTTCCAATTCCGCCATCTTGATTCGAATCGTCGTCATCTCGACACTGGTCGCCTCCGAGTTGGTTACTGGGATGGTGAATCCGGTCAAGCTGGTTGGATTCCTCCATGTGGTTCAGGATGATGTCTGGCATGGAGATGTACTGGTGCCCTGTCTTCCTCCTGCGCGGGACTTCAGCATCTTCCTTCCTTGATGGGGCCTCCTCCTCACCTTCTGTAGAGTTCCCTGGAGACTGCTCAATGCCCTCTTGGTTTGAATATCTACCTATCTCAAAAAACAACCCAAATCATGAGGGTGGGCAGTTGTTCCTTGCAATTCCAGACAAAACAGAAGGTTTTGGATAATCAAGATGATAAATGCCTGCTCTTTTATCAAGGTCGACTTTTTCTAGGTAATGTGTGGATGATGTCGAACGTGAGGCATTCTTTGTTTTTCATGTACTTACTATAAAATAATCAATTGAGAAAAAAATTCCTTGCACGGAGCACTTGGTGTGATATTTATAATGACAGTGCTTTTTATTCCGAACGTGCAATATCAATATATTAAGAGTAATGAATACAATTTTATTGAACACATTTATATTAAAGCAACTTGACTAATGCAAAATTGAGTGGCAATAATTCTTTTCACACATTTAAATATTTACTTATTTATTTATCGATGATCAACTGAGAGGGACGACGGATAGTTTATATATATATTAGTGTTGGAAGTATGGGAAGTAAAATAAAACTTTAAATTTGCACATATTTGCATAAAATATGCATAAATTTGCATAATATGGACAAAAACTCACTTTCGGGTCCTAGTTGACCTGTTTGAATGGATGTCGCCCGGGACAAGCCCAGAATTTGCTTGAATGACTGGGCAATGCTCAGTCTGGTGTGGCCGTCTACGTTGTAGCGCTGGTAGTCGAAGCAGTAATAGAACAAGACTGCGACAAAGACCAACTCGATGCAAATCAGAAAATCCTAACGAGCAAAAATCAAACAGCATGGGAAAGTTTCAAAGTATTTTATTTCAAGAATCTGAATTTTATTTTGTGCCCTTATTGTATTGTTTCTCGCCCTAACCAATTATAGTTTAATAACGAGGCTTCGTGGGCGATAATGTGGACATCACCAATCACCATGTGATGTTTATCCATAAAAAAATAGCGGAGGACCAGTCGTATGTTTTCAATATTCAAAGATTGGTTTAACAGTGCAGACGTTAAAAATCACGGGTCTTGCTTTCTGTCAACACATTCTTCGGTCCACAATTTTTTTAGTAAGGTAAAGAGTCACAATAGAACTATAATTGGCACTAAATTGGCACATCACCATGGAACAAGCTTGTCAATACAAATGTCGTAATTTCATCAAGGCATTGGTATTCATTCTTAGATGCAAAACGGACTGAGGACCTGCAACATGGTAGCAAAAGCCGTTCCGTCGTGGATAAAGCCCCAATCCGATGTGGGTTTGATCGCTCCCACGTTGGCCAAGAAATGCAGAAAGACCGACTGGAAGTTGTCGACGAAGACGGTCAACTTGACACCGATAAACTGCCAAGTGGATTTGGGCAGCATCTGTAGCTCGTCAAAGGTGGATTTGCGGAGTAGTATTAGGCAGTATGTGGCCCACTGCAGGAAGGGTGAAAAGAGAACATAGTGAGAATGTTTTTGCAAATTGGGCACAAAATATTACAGAAATATCTGTTTAAAAGGTGGTGCATGGAAATTGATGACGCACAGCTGATAAAAGTGGGTAACCTTTTTCATGAATTTTAGTCAGTTGTTAAACACTGTATGTATTATAATTGTCATCAACCAAAATTAGCAGATGTCTCTGCCATTGTGACAACCATAAGATTACTTACTAGCTGAGCAGTGGTTAAAATGACCGTCACCCACAGCGAGGCATCCTTAGGTGTGTAGTTCCCTTCGTTGAACGTGTTGGTAAAATATGTAATTCTGGGGATACAAGAGAAACCAAAATAAAAACGAGAGGAACTTTTATCTTTGCTAAAAGGACATCTGATAAAATCAACGTTTTTCTCACATGAACAAAATTCAAGTGGGAAGAGTGGAGTAAGTTGACAAAAACTGTAAGAAAACCTAACCGTAATATTCTGTAATAATACTGTAATACTAGCTGAAGTGGATTTATAATCGGAGTTTTCTGGCTGATCTTAGGATGCTTGAACTCACAAGGAGACCACGGTGCACACAATTCGGATGATCATGTAGATGACAATACCTCTCTTGCATCGCCGGATAACACTGCGTCAAAAAAAAATCAAAGGAGACGATGCTTGTACGAGATCCGTTCAGAATACGAAGGGATTGTAAAACTGCTCTCCTAGCGGAACTGTGCAGTCAAGCTCAGAAAATTCCATGTTAAAATTTTAAGTTCGTCCAAATGAGGGGAAAGGGTAGTTTTCACGCGCACTTAGAAATGTTTCGTTTCCAACAGTTAAAGGAGGTCATAAGGCGCACGCAGCCACTGTTCTGTCAAATGTTTCGGAACGTTCAAACTAGTTTCAAGAACGAAAAACACATGGATGGATCTTTGAAAGCAAAGCCTTGTGAAGTAATTGAGTTTTGTATTTCAAAATCTTTTGTGTGGGTAATTATCAAATTTCAAACCGTGGTAAAAATTGTCTGCAAAGTGGACCCAATTTAAATACGGCTTTTGCCGGGAAAAAAGGTGAACTGGTTAAAAGTTACCGGTATTACCGGTATTTAACCCTGAAAGAATGCTTTTATTTTTCTGTTCGTTTTTCTCTTGGGCATTTATGCATTTTCTGTTTGTCATGTCGCATTACCATTATGGGCTTCCATTTTTCACTCCCAATTGTGCTGCTTGTTTTGCAAGAAAATAAGCTGGAAACAAAACGGGCGTAACCTCCATTTGGTCGAAACCCACCGCGCGAAGTTTACCCTTCGTCAGAAAATGCCCCCTATTTTATGCACAGTTTTTTTCAACATACCTCTGGCTCGGGTACACCACGACACAGCAGGCGGGGCACGGCGCCTTGATCTGCGGTTTCATGGTTAGTCGATTGTCGAAGTTGGGCACCTCCTCGAAAAAGGCCAGCAGGTAAAGTACGAAATTATAGATGACATAGGCCTGGTAAAACTCACGTAAGGTGTCGAGGTAGATGTTAGAGGCTGGGAAACGGAGTGCGAACCACTGAGGATCGCCAAGATAACAAAACACAATGTTACGAACAGACGGGGGAATTGAACCCAAAACTAAGGCCAAGCATGTCAAATGCATATTAAGACGTTATTTTTCTTTGAAAAAAATCACAAATTGGTTAAAATTATCGTCAGACAATAATTATGCCAGATATTTTCGACAATCTATTCTACTTACGCTATTTAGCCCGTAGATGGGCACAATCAAGAGAATTCTGAAATAAATAAAAGTACTTTATGTCAGTTTTTAATTTCATTTCATATACATATGCAATGTTTACTTTGTAAACCAGCAAAATTTTCTCCACGGTTTTGAAAAGGTTTTGGATTTGACGAGTGCGTTCCGCGTACAACTCCAAAGCAACACGGGGTGCAGTGCCTAACATAAAATCATTTTAAAATGCCCAGATTCCAGATAGCGAATATGACCTCCAGACAGATTTCTTGTCACATTTCTCAAAGTGAATTTTTCCATTTGTAGTACATACGGTCAAAGTTGTACTTTTCCCCACACTTTACCTGATAATGCGTTTCTGCAGCGGTGGGCGTGTATAACATACGATGTGGTTTGTGATCCCCAACACCGAAATGAAGATACAGATGATCACAGCGAAAAAAGCTACCCCTGACAGAATAACCAACAAACGCTGATCCCCTTGCGCCTCGTGGATCACATCAACTATGATCAGCGGGATAGCGGTGAAAACACAGAGTCCGTAGATGACGCAGAAGACAGGACGGATCCACAGCCGCCAGCTGCTTAGACAAGACGTGGAGCCTGTGCCGCTCGCCTGTGGGGGCGGTGGCAGCTGGCTGGTCCGGCTCAACGTCAGCGGCACCGGAGCTGACTTCCATGATGTGAAAGTGGACTGGTCGAGTCCCAATATTCAGACGGCAAAGGAGCTTTCCATGATAACAAACACAAAAGAGTGGAAATTCGACTTTAAGCAAAATTTTCCAGAATAATTATGCATGTAACTCAGCACCAGTAAAGTGGGCCCGGATATGCACGGCGAACTGTGCATGAAGTTAATTGGACGCTAACTACAAAATCCACCGATGAAATTATCAGCATAAATACATGTCTCTGGCGGAGTGATCTTAACACGCATTTCTCTAATCCGTCAAAGTACTAGGTATTCAATATTGGCGAGATTTTATTTATTCATACAAAGTTCAAAGAGTTGCGATAAGATAGCTTAGGGCCTACCTGTGCCATGATTGTCGAAATGGGCATCGAAGTCCGACCGACGCTATCATAAACATGCGCTGTACGTGTACATGTACATGCACATTGTACACATGTACATCAGGTACTGTTTGTTTGCAAGTACAGTACATACACATGTACATGTCACTGTCTCGTACGTCCGGGTGTGGGAGATGTTTCGGATGGAAATTTACCTGGCTTTTTACCCTTGAACTCTGAGTCTGGAAGACTAGGCCTTCGGGAATTCAGGGTTACTGGGCTGAGCTTCACTGCGCTGATATCAAATGCTTAGTGAATTGGAGGGGCTGCGGCTATATAGGCTCGATGGCGAATTTCATGAGCTAAGCAAAAATCAGTTCAGACAATAAATCAAGGGGTCGACTTCCAGTTGGCACTTTTTTTCTGAAGCAGGGCTATTCTTCACGTGACATACAGAATTTTTTACTTGGTTTTTTTTTGTAGCCTTTAACAATGATCTCCAAACTTTGTATGGATTGATTCGAACCACCTGGCGAGATATGAATCCTAAAGGGGCGGGGAGAGGGGTGTGCGGTCAGCAGTTCACAAGGCATGGTGGGGTACGTACTATCTAGCGTGCATGCATGTAGTCCAGTTTGTCACTGTTTATTCACTTCAAATTGAAATGTACATGGTCTCTATATAGACCGGCTGCCTACAGATTGACTGTTGTTTACTTGTATACCGTTCTCAAAATGCTCGAAAACAAAAGAAAAAAAGCAATAAAAACAAACTTATTTCGCACAAAGGAAAACGGTACACTCTTAACGTCAATTTAGTTAACCCTTCTAATTTCAACATTTTGCTTAACAGAAATAACATCCGAATGCTTAGAATAAGGAATACATTTTTACATTTAAATTTAATTTCAATAACACACAGGTAAAGTATCTGCAGTGATTTTAGATTACAATCAATTTAATTATACCTCTTGGCTGTATCGTTGGCCCTCAGTGATTGGTCCAAGTGCCTGCAAAGAAGTGCGCTGTCTCACCAACTTGCTTGCACACTAGCTGAAATAGGCATTTTGTCGACCATAAATATCAATTTTCTCATATCAGCCAACTAAGAGATTCAGGAGTCATTGCGAAAGACAGTAAACAATACACTGAGTGGTGCGACCAACATTTTCAGGTCAAGTTTCAATTTCTTGCTGCTTGAAAAAAATCCAATTACTGTACCTATTTATTATGTACAAGTGTAAAAAGCGGCGAGGGCCCATCTGAGGTAAACTCGGATGCCTCCACTTGTGTTCGGATCGCTTTAATTTTGGTCACCTTCTTCGCTTGGCTCATCTCAGTTTTCAGGTGTTCCTTCTTCCATACTTTATTGATTTTAAGGACTGCTGGTGATCACGGATGAACTATTTTGGCCTAGACACCAACTCTACTACATGTACGTGTATATCCATCAGCCGAAACTGAACGTAACTGTGACAGAGTGTAGGCTAGGCCGCTCGGGTGTTCACTATGCCGTGCCGCGTGACCCTGCGTCATGCATCCTGTGAGCTCTACGCCTCCGAGCTACCGAATCCTTCACTACCCTCAGTGGTACCCTTCTCCGTTTCCTTGGTAACAAAAGAGTCGGAATCCATTGTCGGGGATCGGTGGTTTTTGATGTGGTCGACGTCCATGTCGTCAAAATTCATCCCAGAGAAGCTGACCTTTTTGACCCGTCTGTGGTGTGGAGCGGCAGGGGGTTTGTCCAACCGCGCATCGACGGGTAGATGACTGTCTTCGTCGCTGTCATCATCGTCGACGGGAAACTCCTCACCAATCAGGTCGTCCATATCACCGCTTACATCATCCTCTTGGGGATCCAAAACTTGTTGATCCTCTGGATATTCAAATCCGCGATTTTGAAGAGCACCGTCTTGTTTTTTCCTGCCGCTTTGCTCGTCAGGAGTATGCATCTCGTCGACTGGGGAGTCTGGGCGGCCCTGTTGATTCAGGACGATATCAGGCTGACAGGTGAGCTTCTGTTTCCTAGATGTCTTGATCCGAGGTCTCAGAACCGCATCTCGCGGTGGGAAAAAGTCTTGTATGGATGTAGGAGAATCAGGAGTGCTGGGCGAGAGTTGCTCTGCCCAGGCTGCGGCTTCGCTATGATTCCTCTGGAAGGTATGTCCTGTCACAAATTAATTTTTGGTTGATATACTTATGATGCTATTTCGTCAAAACCACTAGAAGAAGTCTGAAAAATTCCACAGAAACTGACTTAAAATGTCATGAAGAAAAAAAACCCGCTTTAAAGAGAAGAGGGTGACACTGTAGTTTTTCACCATCTGTCGATACCTTTTTGGCGAAATCGTAATGATCAGAACAAATCGATAACTGATAAAAGCAGTATCGTTAGGCACTTTTGATGAGTTGTTTTGGGCTTCTGTGAAGATCGGAGAGATTTGTATATACTGCCCTACCTCCAAATCTGAGGTGGTCCATAATGTTGTTCTTGACATCAGACACATTCAACATGTGCTTGAAGGACTTGGACAGTATCATCTTATGCTCGCTGTCGGTGTTATAGCGCTGATAGTCGAACGAATAGGAGAAAACAGCGGCGCCTAAGACCATCTCAAGGCAGATCAGAAAATCCTGCAGTAAAGAAATAATGCGTAGAGGCGGCGCCCTCTCGTGGTTGGTGGTCGTCAATTTACCACTATAAAGCATACTTCATAGCCAATATATAATACAGCATTATTATCCAATCATTATTCAGTTTCTCATTCATCTAACCTTTCCACGTGGACATAACAATGGGTGAGAGGATGCTTGCACCCACCGCGAGGGGAAAATTTTTTTTAAAAGAATAAAATGAAAAGGAAGATGAAAATGGATGAAAAATAATAAATGATAAATAATTTGCCTGAAAACAGCCTCAGAATTTACCGTCTTCCCCTGAAAAAATCCTAGTTATGCCCATGCTTATCCATTTATACAGTATCATGGCTTATATCGTTGAGTACACCATGGTCTACTGTAGTTGTACGAGAGATTTCAAGAACCATTGGTCATAATTATTGACTTTTACCGTGACTCTAATGTAAACTTCAGTTGGTGCCAGATCACTGTTGTATTATGAAAAAGGTGTGAAATGGAATACCATGAACATTTATAAAAGATAACATAGATACAAACCACAAGAATTTACACCTTTAGTAAAACAAGCCTCAATGTCACAGACTTACCTGTAGCATAGTTGCAAAGGCAAAAGGATCCTCGAATCTCTCGAAGACCCCGAACTGGGCCAGGAGATTGAGGATGACAGACTGGAAGTTACTAACGAAGATCACCATCTGTATTCCAACGAATTGAGCCGTTGAGCGGGGCAGCATCTCGAGCTCTTGTAGAGTAGCCTTGCGGAGGAGAACCATGCAGAAGATAGCCCACTGGAAGGACGAACATTACGGCTTATGCAGTGTATTCAGAACCGCTGTTCGGGCACATGGTGGGCCCACGAACTTCCATAGACATATGTACTATATGGACGAAAAAATACATGTACTACTTACAATCTGCGAAATAGTGACACAAATTGTCACCCATAGGTAGGCAAAATTGGGTGAATAGTTTCCTTCCTCGAACTTGCCAAGAAGATCGGTGACTCTACGGAAGTTAAAACAAAGAGTATTTGATTATCATGTATGGAATGGGGAAGTCAATGATACTGGAGAAAGTTGGAACTCAAAATAAAGAAATCCCTTTCGGGGTCTTGTTCAGAATCAGAAATACGTTATGTTCATGAAGTGGGTTCTGAAGAAACGAAAAATGTTGTTTATAATTCATTTCCTTCATTCATTTTTTTCGCTGTTGATGTTTTTTGAAAGCTTTGTCTCTCTTAAGATGCCCCTTGCGTTCATGCGAACAGTTTGACATGTCAATAATAAGGGAACGTACAATGTACTCACAATGAAATCCCTGAAAAGATAATTCGGATGACCGTATAGTTCAGAACACCGTTCCTGCATCGGTTGATTATCCTGTGGGGGTCAAAGAGCAGTACATGCACAAAAAGTCATCCACCGAAATTATTGTGGAAAACAAAACTCAGCAAACACCACAACATTCTTACAATTTAAGTCAATATGGAATATTTCAAACATATGATGTGCAAAGCCGCAAGTTGGAATTTCAAGGAAAAGATTATCATGAAAACGTTCTTATCATGGTACTGTTTACAAAGTGACACACTTTTTATGAGGGGAAAGAAACTGTATAAAAAGGAGCTAAAATTGAGTCACTGAACCAAAATTGGCGACGCAAAGCTTCTCAGATAAAGTCTGATTGATAAAAGTTAATGCCTCGAGTGACGACGTTTAGCGTTGACCGTCACAAAACGACTGATAACAAAAGATAAACTGTCTAAACAGAGTTGATTTTGCTTAACCATTAGATAGCGACTGGCTCTGAGTCCTGAATAATTTCAGAGATGATTTGGCATGACTGTGCTTCAAAAAGGGAATTCATTACGGACCAGAATATAACACATCAGTGGTACACGGACACGCATGTACTTGCAACACAAGTTACTCTTACGCAAAGCTATTCGAAAGCGCACCAGTTGAGGAAGTTCGTCTTAAAAAGTGTTTAAAAGTTCTTTTCATTGGCGTATCGAGCGGGGGGTGGAAGGGGACAACTTGACCCCCTGACGGATTTTTTCTCATTTTTTTCCCTTTTGTACTATAAGAATACTTTATAGGGGAGTAGGAAAGAAAGATATCGGTAGTTTAGTTATCAAATGTTACCACCGAAACCCTTAGAAACATCACCAAGAAATAAAAAGCAAGGATTTCAGCGCCGTGAGTAAGGCTATTGATGTTCTTTTCTTCCAAAAAAAAAAAACATGTTGAACAAGCCCCAAGCCGCATTCTCTGTTGAATTTGCCCCCGGACACCAAAAGCTGGATGCGCCGCTGGTTCTTTTAACTAGGTAGGCCTACAAGCTTGCTCCATGCAAACCATGGTAAAACGAAACTTCAAGAAGCTCAGTTTACTCAAACGCAAGAAAATTCAATAAATTGCACTTGAAATCTTAGAAATGTTGCTAGTTGACAACTTTCTTGTTAACAACACTCTGAAGGCTTTCAACACTAGGCAGGATATAACAAGACTTATTACACTTCTAGGAATTCTATACGCAGCAGGGTTCAATACAGAATACTCCAATCATCATGAAGAACGGCCAGGTACATACCACGCCCCTTCTTAATCGTATACAGTTTACCTTTGATTGGGTACCGCTTTGACACAGCAGCATGGTGCTGGGGACTTGATCAGAGGTTTAGCGAGCAGTCGCTCCTTGAAATTCGGCACCTCCTCGAAGAATGTCAAAAGATAGAAGACGTAATTGTAGATGACGTAGGCCTGGTAGAGCTGGCGAAGTGTGTCCAAATATATCTCCGCTGCTGGAAAACGCAGGGCAAACCACTACATCAAAAACAAGACGTTTGGGGGCTTATTATGGGAAAACGCGAATGCCAGAGATAATCACAGAATAATTCCTTGACAAACATTCACTTTTGGTGCAGATATTTACGCGTCCATTATTACAAAAACATGAAAGCCTCAATTCGTCTACTTACACAGTTTACCTCGTAGATTGGTACAATCCATAATATCCTGAAAATGTAAGGGAAAAATACTGAGTAAGATTGCGCTATAAACCCAACGTAAAAATGAAACCATTCTGTACTGAATATTCATCATTCACATTTTATAAGACGATATTCGATTAGTTACTCAAGCCGACTTACCTGATAATGTACTTCTGGAGGTCTGGTCTCGTGTAGCATACGATGTGATTGATTATACCCCATAGCGATATCGGTATACAGATGACCATAGCGAAGAACCCAACAGCAGCCAGCGTGACCTGAATATTCTGCTTTTTGGCATGGACGAGGTCGAGAATTATCAGCGGGATGGTAGCAATAACGAGAAGAGCGTACGCCACGTAAAAGGCGGGGCGGACCCATCGCCGCCAATTAGCCCAACAGGACCGCGGGCTTGAGTCGCCTTGCACTAAGGGCGTGGGGGTTGACTGGCCCTGCTCAACGCTGCTGGGATCACGGTCGATCTCCATGTCCAATGGCGGACCTATGAGACGGTGAGCTAATTACAGTCTTTGTCAGGTTCAGTCTCATGCCCTGTACTAATCACCTGAGCATTCAGGTGATTAGTTGGATTCTTGGAATTTTTGTTTAGTTTACGAACTCTTGAATCGGCAGCCCCAAACCTATGGGTGACTGTGTAAGTCAGACCTCCGTTTACATAGGGAACCCTTCTCTTATTAGGACAAGGTTCGTGAGGATGCTTATGATCACAACTATTTTGTATTTACCTTTTCAAAGTCCAAACTTTATTTCGGCAGGACCGTAGGGCATCGGTAGGATTGCTGCACAACCATATCAGATAAGCCTATTGCACCTTGCAAAGTGTGCATGAAATTCATGAAATAAATGATGACATGTATGGCAACTTAATGCAAACAAGTCGATTTGGTTGTCACTTTTGTCATAACAAAAGCATATCAACGCCATGACACCTACAATCCCAGTACTAGCCAAGGCGGTGCAGAGGGGGAGAATACAATACAAGAATACAGTAAGCGAACAACTAGAAACTTAGCAGATGTCAAACTGATACTCAGGGTGTTGTCGACTGATTTTTCTATTTTCTGTCAGCAGAATTTCAGATTTTATGAAGCCACGTCGCCCGTTTTAAAAAATCTCAAGTTTCTGTTGGCAGAAATTTCGATTTTATTTGCGACGACTTTTTGGAGCTCTAAAAGTAGACTTTTACCAGTGGCATAAATTTCTGCCATGAAATGGGGGTGGGTGAAATGCATGGGGGATGTGGGATTTTTGGGGGAGATATTTAAAAAATTGAAAATTTAAAAAACGTGTGTACGGTGTGTGGGGGAGAGGTTCTGACACCATGTATGTTCATAATAGAGATCTGTAATATGTATTACACTCCTGAAAAACCTTTCACCAAAACTATTGAATGCATTTTGGTTGTTGCAAAGTCCGAAAAATTCTTCACAATCCGCCTCAGTTATTTTTTCTCTCACCACAAAACGTGGGCACATGATTCAATAGCCCATCCTCCTCGAGGTAAATAAAGGGGTAAAAATACCCCATTCCCGCTGGGCTTTACTCCCATGACTTGGTGGTTCAGTCGGTCATTGAATTGGTTTTAATTTGTTCTTCAAGCGGGCATGCCACGGCCTACAAGGCCTTCAAATACCTTTTCGTGGGGACTTTGGTTGCTTCGTCACCAACACGCACGTGATCGACCATTCAAAGCCCACTCCAATAGATCTCCATAATAAAGACTACTCCGATTAGACGCAACCACTGCGACGGCACCGTACTCAACGCGCACATTCTCAAGTTCAACTTCACGCACGCGTACCCTTAATTGGCTAATCACGACATCATGGTTGCACTACACCAAATACGCGCCCGTAGAAAACGGTGCAAAATTGGACCGAAATAGCGCCGCCTGTTGGCTCTTGTGAAGAGGTTGGCCTCCGTTTTTTACTGAAAATTCAAGATTATGGCCAGAAGATCACTTTTCGTTTCAATTTCATAGGGATTAGCCACGAAAATCTTTTTTATTCGCTTTTCAAGGAAGATACCCCCAAAACTGCAGTAAAACTATAAGCGCTCGTTTCTGAATGTAGCCGCCTGCCCCTATCCAAAATAGGCCCGCAATTTGGTGCTTTTTATGAAAGAAATACCCGAACTGGAAACTATCAGTCCCAAATTCGGGATTTACAGAAATATTTCTATGATGCCTCCTGACTATGGCATGTCTTATCGTAAAAACCCCGTGGGATCACAAAATATTAATGAGCTCGCGCGCAGAAATACAACCATTTGGTGGAATGCACCCTCATAGTCGAAGAGGCATGTAACGCACGCGTACCACATATCAACGATCATTGTGCCACCACAGTAATGGCTTTTGTTGAATTACACTGTACTGTGTTACCGTCAAAAATTGGCACGTTTACGTTAGATAATTATGCGCATATGCAACAGCTGTGCCTACGAATTTCGGCTGAGGTTAGCGGGACAACTTGTCATCAAGCCTAGTTGATCGACCTTATTGAAGAATACAAGCTCTCCTAGTCATGGAAACAGACATGTGGTGCTGAACCGAGAGTAGGCTAGACGCGGATAAAATTCAAAATGCCAACTATAAAAATATAAACAGCGTAATCGACGTGAATGAGGACTTTTTCTAACCTAGACTCCCGAAAGCTGCGCCCTACACGTTCAAAATTAACAGTCTTTGGACAGTTGACGTCTATACGTTCCACCAAACCCAGAGTATTCGTCCCGAGCTGAAGTGCACCCCCAATCGGCGAAAAGAAAGACAAGTGGTTACAAGCGGGTTCTTGCGTGTACGCAAAGACCATACATGCCGAAATATAGTAAATTAGTTACGCGTACTCAGTACTCAGCGTGCTCCGCGTCAAACGCGCATATACTTGCGCCCCTGATGGCGCGCCTATGCGGTGAGTACCCCCTCCCCAAAAAACATGTCCTCTTTTGTTCCGTTCGGAGCGGATGTTGTGGAATGCGCCTTTCAAAGTCATCCATACATTGCTGCCCAATAATTTTAAAAGGAAATAAAGGTGCAAAATTGAGGCATGATTGGGTTGGCAAATGGATTGCAAATGCATATTAGGAGGGTGAAAAAGATCATGGCCGGAAAACCGGCTGGTGAAATACTGAAAGCTGTGTTTCAAAAATTTTCCCAAATCGACTGTTATCTTAACAGCCTGATTTTGTATAATTAGCCTACATGGGACGAAAAATTGCAATGGAAAAACAACATCCTGGCTAGTTCAGTTCTCAGATTTGTGAAACATTTGTTAAATGCTTTGCAAGATCAAGTTGCAGCTTGTGGGTTTATCGACTTTATGACTTTAGAAAGTAAGGGATATGAATATACACTGGCTGAACTAATTTCCACTCTGCAATAATGCCAGTGCCACGATCGAGTATCACTTAAATTTTAAGCCATCGTAGACTCACAAGACGACCCTTATCCCCGTCAGGAGACGCATAATATTCAGCAATATTCCAATAAAAGTACATGTACATAGCCATACATGATTTTCTATTGCTTTCTTTCCAATCATGCTGGTTTTGTTTGCCTGCAGCAGCTACGTTTAGAGCACCAGCTCAAGCTGCTTCCGAGATACCAGCTATAAGCTTACTACTTTGATTTTAAACCACCAGCTACTTTTTGACTACCGGATACTTTTCATCCAACAGTTTTTACAGTTTTACTTTTTTCACTACCAAAATATACTTTTAAAGCACAGATACTTTTAAACCAACGAACCTTTGAATCACTTGGTACTTTCAAACTACCTGATACCATTAACCAGCAGCTTGACAGAAGAGTGGGTCTTTTACCTTTGTCTTTTTTAAAGCCTCATCACAGTTGCAAAGGGCGCCCTATATAACTTTCATAGTCGACAGTTTTGTTTGGGTTTCGTGCCTCCTTCATTTTTGTTCTGTTGTACTTTACAAAGTCCATAAGTCTGAATGTAATGTTGAGAAAACTGGCCCCTTAGTACTGCTCAGTTTCGACGACTACTTTGAAACCAATTGTTACATAATTTGTTTGATATCAGCATGAAGAATCTCACCTGGATACCGGTCACTTATGAACGTACAGTAAATATAAAAATACTACTTTACGTGTAGTTACTTCGATAGCCAGTGCAGGTGTCAAAAGAGCCACATGATTGATGTCCAACAAATATTCTTCATAATTATATCTTTGGAAAAAGCAAAGCGATTTCCCACGCTAGTGCTGTCGATGTGCAATATTACTAGCGCCCCCTACTGTTAATCAGATCTGATTGGTGGCGCCATCAAAACAACCCGAGTAC